AAAATAAATCATTATTATTATTTACTATTATTAGTATAAAATGGTTTAGGATAGTCATATCTTAGGTAGGACCATGCCCAGGCACCTTTCTTTTACATCATAAGACATGTCTCAGCAAATTCCTAGGACTATCCTAAATCAAGTCATAAGACGTATCTTAGGACATAAATTTGGATACTTCCTTTGACATACCCCTAATAACGTTTTTGTCATACCTATACATTTTTTTTATATTACTAGGCAAGCTTAAGACTTTTATCTACGTGTTTTATGTTCTGTAATCGTACTGTGAACAACAAATTTATTTTGTAAAAAATGTTTCTGTACTCCTTACAACAAAATTATCATATTTACATTTATCGGTGTACGTTACTTTATTTAACGCCATTTTGTCCAAGGTTAAAGTTGTCTTTTTGACATCAATATATCTTTTTTATTTATATTGTTTTTATATTGTGTCATAGATCAAACTTATTTGTTCAGTGTATATTTACTTGTTTTTGTGTATATGTCTTTTTGATGAGTTAATCCATTTCAATTGATATTTTATTGTGTGTCTTTTTATGTTGTAGTGTTACACCACTGTTTCAGGTTAGGGTGTGGTTCATAAGTGTTTTTCGTTTCTCGTTTTTTATATAGATTAGACCGTTGGTTTTCCTGTTTAAATTGTTTTACACTAGTCATTTTGGGGCCCTTTATAGCTTGCTGTTTGGTGTGAGCCAAGGCTCCGTGTTGAAGGCCGTACTTTGACCTATAATTGTTTACTTTTTACACATTGTGACTTGGATGGATAGTTGTCTGATTGGCACTCATACCACATCTTCTTATTTATAGGTTAGATTTTGTCTCTTCATTGGTATATGTGATTATTTTTTATGCTTTTACCTAAACAGTTTTATATGAATTGGCATATACATCTTAAGATTTTTATTGTATCATGAAATTAAAATTAAATTTTTTTTAAACAAATTTGGAAAAACTGAAAAAAAAACAAACTTATTTTATCCGCCATTCTTCTGATAGACTTTCACAGTAACCACTCTATAACTACACCTATTAATGATCTATTTGCTATAGAAAGTCATTTCTGATTTCTCGTACTTCAATTTATATTTTTTAAAATTAAGTGAAAACAGTAAATGAAGAATTCTGAATCAGATAAAAAAAAATAAAATAAGGGGTTATTCTATTTCATGTGTTTTTCAAAAAATTGTTTTTGTTTTTAATATTTTGCAATGTGAAGTTAAAAAAAATCGGAGAAACATAGTTGATGTACATGTTTTAATTTTACCTTTTTTTAGGATTAGAACTACATCTTGAGATAAAGTCCTGTTGGCAGAACTAGGCTGGGATTGACGATACAATCCACACATCATTGTTGTAGTATTGAGAACTGCCGTCATACAGGTAGAAGTTATTCCACACAAGGAGGTACAATGTATACTACTCCGAGCATATTCGAATCTTATCAAATATTCATTTCCCGGGGGTTGACCCGGCATAACATTAAAATAGTCTTTGTGCTGTAGAGACTTGACCACCATCATAAGTGTCAGAGTAAGGATGCCTTGTAGTATACCGACTTTCACCATTATGATTAGACACAGCTTTCCCAAATGATTAAACTATCAGAAACCTGAATATTTATATGTGCGTCTTACTGTCGACGATGAATTAGCATAACAAAACTCATCAAAGATACCAGGCTTATAATTGACGATTTGTTTTAGTAACAAATATTTGCCGATTGTGACATCGAAAAGAAAAGACAAAGAAAAAGACGATCATAGTAATTATATACAACATGAATTAAAACCCGGGCCTCGTTTTCTAAAAAATCTATAGAAATAATACATATATCTATATTTTAATTACTGCTTCCAGTATTTATATTGAAATAATTAATTGTTTCCGAAAATAATTTATTTTCTTTTTATCCTTTAAAAACTCTTTAGTGATTCCTATAAATTCTACAGTGAATTTGAGCAAGTTCAGATCATTGGAAAGTAAACTGTATAATCGAATTTTGCTAATACAAAGATTATATTCAGAAAAAACAATGTCCTGAATTAAACCAGTGAATGATGTGGAAAAAAAAACCTTCTATTTTTTTTTCAGTGAGTTTAGAAACTCCAAAGTCAAAATCAGGGAATTTACTAATTTTAAAACTATTCCACCCAGGTATTATACAAAAACTCAAAAAATTTCAGAGATTTACAACATATAGGCAAAACAATAATCACATAAACGGAGGATCAGTATGAGAACAAAAGGAGAGAGAATGGGAGTTGTTGGTATCTAGACTGAAACTTGAAACGTACCTTATCCAAAATATCACTAGTCTTCTTGTAAACTTATACTAGGTATACGTTTATCAATTTCATACTTTATACATTTTTATTTGCGTTGATTGAAAGCGAGAGTTTGAGACAAATTAAGATCACATTGAACAGTATTACTGCTAAAGGTTTCATTAACCAATATGAAAGAAAATTGTTTTGAGTGATCATCAATACACAATCACTCTTATTTGTAAAATTGTCAACTCGATTCTTGATTAAAAAAATGATAGGAAAAATATTAATTTACTTAGTCCGGTCCAGGCCAGGTATACAATGATATTATTCGGAATATGGTATATTTTATTACACATTGATAATTAATGTTTTCATTTAGTTTATGGTCGGTTTCAATATTGTTACTTTACCAATATAATTTTGAAGGACAGTCGTCTATAGATTCATTACTTCATGGTCAATATTGTTTGAAGCGAAGCAATAAACTCCCTTTATTAATTTTGATATTGTTTATAGGTTTGTTGACTGGTTAATTGTCGGGTGTATTTTACAAAAAGGACAAGAACAGAGTCCCATGACACAACTATCAGAGACATGTAAATACGAAGAAACACTGGGTAAGTTCAAACATTCAAAATTCACGTTTGATCGACAAAACCCAATTTGTATTCATTTTTATAAAAGATTAATACATATTTTAATAATAATCAAAAGATAAACTGGATTAAAAAATCGTCAGTTTTAATTTAACCTTGAGCTACTGTGATCCCTTGGATCTGTTTGTTAATTTTGGATAGAAAAATAAATTAAAAAAATAATTCGGCGAAAAGACATCTTTATGAACATTGTGTGTTTCAGAGGAGTTTAAATTTTTCCGCATACAAGAGAGTGCAATGCATATGAATAGTTTCCAACTAATAAGATTACTTTTACTGTTCCAATTTGGTTGGTATGCTACATTTGCAGAAATTACAGACACGGTGAGTACTGAAATTGTCATAATTGTTATGAAAAGTTAATCTCTTAAACAATTTAAATAGTAGGGATAAGAACAAAATAAACAGAACTAGTTTTTTAATTGTTTAATGAATGACGAAAAGTATTAGTCACTGAAAAGGTAATACCGATGAAGGAAGATCGCGGTATTACACTCTCCGGTAAAACTAACATTTTAGGTCAACATATTCACTAGTTAACATAAGAAGATGTGATATGATTTCTAAAACGACAACTTTCACTAGAGTCAAAATAACATGGATGCAAGAAACTCAGTATGATTTCTTTTTTCACTTGCTTTGTCGCATAAACATTTCAAAACTATTAATTCAATAAGTGGTAATTCTATATTCTTTTATTCAATAGGAAAATACTCGTATGAAATTTATTTAGATTCACACGACATAGCTTACTTGTTTCGTGTGGTAACAGTGTACAATATAGCAAATTATAGTAAGCATATCACAAAAAAAACATGGAGGTGATTGTCTCTTATATTGAACCAATGCGTAGAAAAAGAAATATTGGTTAGTGTTGTAGTGTTGTAATGAAATACTTTTCCTCACGTCTATTTCAATTTACTTTTGATGTATCATTTACCCATATTCAATCTATTCATACTTAGAAGAACCATTTCCCTTCATGTCATCCCGCCTATTTATCTGAGATATTGTCTTTACAAAATGTTTGTAACAGCTTTGGTTGTCCACTTGCTATATTTTATGTTTGATTTTATTCAAATCACTCAAAGCTCTGGAGACTTGTGCATTTTAAGTCAGGCCTCAATATTGGTCATCAGCGTGAAAAAGATATAACGCAATATTATGGATAGCAAACATGTGAGACATTGAGGAAAGTGCAACTGGTGAACTTTTATGTATTTTTGTCATTTTTATGGACTTTTGATTCAAACCAAAATTTTAGATTAAAAACGAGACAACCATAATGATTATTCTCATATTTTTATGAATACTCAATGTCTTCTGAAGCAAATTTAGAATACAAAGAGAAAATATTATTTGATTAATATTTAACATTGTATTTTACTGCAATTTTTCAAATTAAACAGGCTCCGAATGGAATTGGTTTTAAAGCAGTATCGAGATATTATAAAATCATGGGACCAGTTGGGCAAAGTCGGGAGGCGTTTGAAGAAGAAGAAGAATTGGAGGTAATGTTATAATCAGAACTCTTTCAGTCCTATCCCTTTTAGAGCAAAATTAACCACTCTCCTAATGTAACAGTACAGCAGATCAACAGACCTATCAATAAAGAATATTAATCTATTATGGAAATGTCATTGTGTTGGGCGTTTGAGTCACGTGCACTGAAAACAATAAACGTTTACGAACACTTAAAATTAGTGTTCCAATGATAAACATCCTTCAAAAACATAAGTAGTATACGGGGAGTATATCATTCTAATACTATAACAGCGCTGCAGCGTTAAGTCAAGTGCCAAAAAATCTATAATTAGGCAAGTGTCGAAATCAGTTAAAAAAAAGGTGACATTGTTACGAAAATATTACCATGGTCATTTGTGACTCTTTCGTTTATAGTATAAACATAAGGAGATGTGGTATGATTGCAAATGAAACAACTATCCACCAAAGACCTAATGAAGTGGATGTAAGCAATTATAGGCAACCGCACGGCCTTCAACAATAAGAAACACTCATACCGTATAGTCGGTTATAAAAGGCCCTCAAAAATATGAAATAATTCAAATGAGAAAACTAACGTCTTAATTTATAACAACACAATTTACGAAAAACAAATATTTCAGACATGAACCAACGACAACCAATGAACTACAGGCTCCTGCCTTGGGACAGGCACATACAAAAATTTGGCGGGGTTGAATATGTTTGAAGGCGCCAATCCTCCCTATAACCTGGGACACTGCTGTAACGGCACGACACAAGAACCAACTATAAAAAACAATAAACGAAAAACAAATGTGAGAAACAGCAAATACAGGTTCCTGACTTGGGACAGGAACGTATAAAATGTGGCGGGGTTTAACATGTTTAAAGGCGCGAACCCTCCCCTAACCTTAGACAGTTGTGTAATTGCACGACATAAGAACAAACTATTAAAATCAGTTGAAAAGGGCTTAACTCGTCAGATAAGTCGAAAGAAGAAAAAAACACATCTAACAAAAACACATACCGGACGTGGCAGGGAATTTATACCTCCCTCACAACAAAATAGACACAAAGTACAGATCTGGGAGTCTTCGCAGTTACTGACAACTAGTTAAAAGCCAGTAACATCTTATAAACACATCATGTTTCTAAGACTAAATATCAATCAGTAAACTTCCAACAGCTTGGATTTGCCACTGGACGTTAAGCAACCAACAATCAATCAATCCAACAGCTTGGTATCTTTGTTTTTTAACGATTGCCCATGAAGAAGACTGTAAAAGTTTTGTAATGTTTATGCCAGATTCAAAACTGACATCAACATTACAAAACTTTTTTTATAGAGGACTAGGTCAGTTTAACCCCGAAATACCAGTTATTGAATGAGAGATCGATGTTTCTCACGGAAGTTATCAACTGTCACATGTGTACCTGTGGTAGGTGATGTAGTAATATTTTTTGGATTATTATTATTTTTAAATAACTAACACTAATTATGATAATAAGTTATCTGTTTGGTCTTCAAAATAGCCCTCTTTTAAGTGTATACCACTAGTTAACCAATTTTGAACTGAAACGGTTATTTTGATCTGAACAGCTCTTAAAAGACTCAACACTATATTATAAAGTCCTGTTCAGTCTCGCAGTACACATTTTTACTTGTCCACTGTGGTGAATTCAGTACTGTTCAGACACTTGCAGTCAATCTGTTCAGTTTATGTTTAGGCTGTATAGCAATTGTTATTTACCTGTACACAATAACAACATATTGAATTGTCTAAAAAGCTACCGAACAGTTCTGAATTGTCTGAACACTGGTAAATTTACAATAAGAAAAAACCAGAAATTAACTTAGATTTTAACAAGACTAAATGCTCAATTGTACTCCATCATTGCATCATAAAAGTATTTTCGCTGACAATAGACTTGGGTTAAGGTCATTGTAATGGTAATTGGAATAGGTTTACTGCTGCAACATTGCAGTCTTGCAGTGTTCTCTCAGTAGTGACCATAACTTCTCCTCGGTAACAAATTCTTACATGTCTAATATGAATGCTAAAGCCATGAGACTGATTTATGCTTCATGCAAGTAAAGCAAAAATTTGCTAAAATCAGTACAATTGATGCCCATCGGAGTGTCAATCAAAAATTCGAATATATATCCAGTTAATTCATGCTGAATAGTGAATATTTTAACCAAAAGAATGTAATGCATATAGCGCAATTCACTCTGATATGATATAGCGTGATAATATAATTTGATGATGATGATGATGATGATGATGATGATGGATGGCTGCTTAACGTCCAGCGGCAAATTAATATGCATATTCAGGACGAGAACATGTTAATGTAATATGAGTAGTTACCCTGCTTTGTACTAGACCGACACGCGAACCCGGATTTTTAACGTGCTAGCTCACAAGGTAACAGTCCACAGAAAGACATGTCACCTTACCCGGACACATTATATTGACTCCGAGCCGATTAGTCTTTGCTCTTACTCCTTAATGCTGCGTGCTTGGTGGAGAAGCAGCAAATACCAATTTTAAAGTATTTGGTTTGATCCGGCTGGGGTTCGAACCCACCGAGGCGGTTCAATATAATTTGAAGGATGGGTATCATAGAAGTCATTTACTGGCCATGAAATTGCATTTTTAGTTATATTCCCCAAATTTATCTTTCTGTTATTATTACTGAATAGGATTATATCGTATGGGACCTTTTTGTGAAGAAATCAATAGTGTTAGTACAATGGATAAACGAACCCAGAAGGTTAGTGGTATCTTTTTAATGATCCAACGCTTATCCATTGTGTCAATTATTTCAGATTACCCACAGTTTTTGGTGGGGTTCCTGTTGGCTCTGTTTTAAGTTTTCTATATTGTCTTTTATGTACTGTTATTTGTCTGTTGGTCTTTTTTTATTTTTTAAATATGGTGTTGTCAGTTTATTTTCGACTAATGAAATTGAATGTCACTTTGGTATCTTTCTCACCTTTTTTTAAAACTTTTGTTGAGATGTTTTTTTTAAAAATTACTGTTGTTATATTAATTAAGACCTATTATCAGTGACTTCATATAACCACCTAATAATCATGAATGATTGACTAGAAACAACCAATAATTATAAGTATACAGGTAGCGGATTTAGATTATCGCATGCACTTTCAGTATACTGTACTCAAACTTCCATTGCATTATTATGAATCTGATTGTTATCTGTAATTTACAAAATGAGGCATATTCAAACAAATTTTTGTAAGTATAGATCTTCTATGGTAACATTCTATACAAAGCACAAACATGTCGTCATTCACCTCAAAAGATAACCAGACTTATTCAGAAGGGATACTGTTATTTAAGGTCATTAAAGATCGCATTTTTGGAATTAATATTGATTCACTCATAGGGTCTTTGCATCGGAAATAAACACATTTATTCTAACACCAGTTGTTGGCATGATACGGGTTATGATCGCATGTTTTATGATGGTAAAAAAGTGGTCTGACTAGACCTACTTGCATTTTGTGAAAGTTTGACTTAACTTTCAAAAAGAAATGTAAATCAAAACCATTGATATCGAGGAAATGATATGTAATGAAATGAACATACTCAATGATATTTCATGGCAGCATTAAAGTGCTGACCACTGGGCTGGTGATACCATTGGGGACGAAACGTCCACCAGCAGTGGCATCGACTTATATATAATTGTAACATGCAATCTGTAATCTTGTTTTTAAAGTAAACACATAGACGGATTGCCCATGAAATCTTTTTTTTCTCACGAGAACTACAGCTTTTACCCTAACTAGTATCACAACACTTTCAGATAAACCCTCCAAACTTACCTTCGGAGGTGAATTTGTACACCTGGTTATCACCCTGATTGCAGGAATTTTAGATTTTGTCATTTATTATTTTTTACTAAATAAACATCTGTTGCATGTTATACATTGATGATGCACTTATTAATCAGTACATCAGACGGAGTCGCATTGAAGCTAAAAAAATCATATGCATATACTCTCATTCATAAACTTTCTCTTTCTCTTAATATTTGTCGAATGGAGCTGTTGGCAAATTAGTTTGAGTGCATATTTCAAATGTTGTTACACTCATGTTCTACCTGAATGAAATATCGTGGTGTGCCTGCTGACAATGCCCCGAACAACATTGTTTTTGTTTCTAAATCATATTACAAATACTGCTCAATACAGAAACTACGTATTTACAATTCACTCACATATACTCTGACGACACTTACCAGTGAGAAAATTCCGAACTATCATTGAACCTGTTCTATGTTCATTTGGAATTTCAACCAAAGATGAAGCACTAGATTTTCCGTTACTGGTCTGAATACAAAAATTACAAAAGTGTCCTTATACACAACGTTGTATTGATAAGTCTGCAAAACGCTCCGCGAAACCTCGTTTTAAATTATATTATCCATTTTATCAGCGTTAAAGATCGAGCTTCAGAGTTTGGAGACTAAAAATTCCTAAGATTTGTTAGAGTGGACAGTCTATTTTAGGTTTTTTCCTCTTGCAACAGTTTAAAAAAAAACATTTGACCTCTACGCCAGTATTCATCATTCTAAACGTAGAGACAGATTGAAATAATAAGGCCGTTTAATTGAACGAATTCAAAAAAAAAAAACGCGTGGCTCAAACTGAAAGAGATAAAGTTAAGATTGCGTAGGTTGTTCTCGCATTGGGATATAAGCCATTACAAGCATGAACCTGTATTGCGATTATTTCGGAGCATCTAAGATGACCCCCAATTTTTGATGGGGTTTATAATGCTCCGTCTTCAGGTTTTTATGTAGTGTTTTGTTGAATTTTGTTTGTCTTTTCGTTGTTTTCGTTTTTTTTTTTGCCATTTTGTTTTGCCTGTCTATGATCTATGAAGCTTTTATATCATCCGTCTTTTTTTCAAATAGAATTTTTTCAACTTTTATTTTATTCGTCTTTCTTTTCTTTTGTGTTGCATTAGTATAATTATAATTTTAGTTATTGGCAGAATTATATAGATTTTATTTCAAAACGTTGCGTTTAATTTCTAATTATTTTAATGTTTTTTCTTCTTTTCAATGATTTTATTCGAAATATTCAAGTTTTATATAACAAAACTAACAATTACTTTCATAATTGAAATATTCATAATATGTGTATTGTTTTTTTTTTTGCAGTTGCATGACTCTATGACAATTGTGATAACCGCATAAGACACGTAAAGTGAATAAATAATTATAGTATTTAAATTCTTTATTCAAAAGAATATTATTAATTTTTCTTTTTTCAATTCTGTAAAGTGGGCCAGACTTGAAAGATGACAAAATATATAATAAATTGTTAAAAACTATTTTGCATCCCAATAGATACGATTACGAATAAAATTTTGAAGGTAGACACTTTTGACAATTGTTCTGTGTACGATAACTGATACATATGTAAATACTTTATGGTTGACCAATATATAATTTTATGTTACTTATTGTTGATATGTATTGAACCTTATTTTCAAATGTAACTTATATACATTTCAATCAATTTATTCATTACCATATTGGCAGAAGGGGAGAATGTAAATTCTTTTTGACATAGATATTATGGTGGCCTACCACGCATTGTTACATATTTGTTAACCAACCCTCAGACATTAGTTACTGATGTTTTCAAAAATATATTATTTATTATCTGAAATTAAATATGTACCTATATAAATACATAAATACATAAATAAAAACAACTATATAAGTCTTTTTGATATATATAGATAGAAGTAAAAAAACCCAAGGAGAAAGGGAACTTCGCATACAAATATACCGATTACGTCTTTTCTCTAAATAATTCTTACGTAACTAAGTTGGTTTCATTTGTTTAAGAAGTTAACTTAAAGACAGATGATTCATTTATTAATTAATGTCATCCTTTAATTTGACGATTGTGCTGTTACATTATATTGATTCATATTCTAATTTTGTTCTGTATCGAGTTTTTGTTTTTAGTTCATTACCATTTTTTGATCAAAACTATTCGGCGACTGAAAACTATAATAATTAAGTTTCTACAAAGTTTTTTTATTATTTTGTATGGAAACAATTCGGCGATTGTAGACTGTGATGATCCCAGAGGCAAAAAGTTAATAATGCTAACCCCCTGAACAATATCATCATTTTTTTTACCTGAATATAACGAATCAAAAGTTTTTATTCTAATCCTGTGTACCTGTGGATGATTTGCATAAGCTTTTTTTTTATTTGAATGATTAGATTTGCAGAAAAAATACTTTTTTTTATAACGGTTTCAAAACGCATTTATTTCTTACCCAATCTCTGACTAGCAATCACTTGTAGGTTATTCGAATTCTCAGAAATCGTGAACTGAAATGAAGTAAATTAATACACAGTTCAAGATGTGTACATCCTACAAAATGTAAAACTACTTCTTTTTTGTACGTTTTGATAGGACGAAGTTAAAGCAAAGGAAGAAAATGACGAAACGTCTGGTTACGAATTTGAATTACAGAAGGAAGAAGAGCAATATATAGATTATCAGGAACAAAGGAAATTAGCGATGGAGAAGGGACAAGATCCAGACAACGTTAAAGAATCATTTGAAGCTGAAAATTATGAAGTATGTTCACAATTATGTTCATATTTGTTCGAAACAGTTATGTTCTTCTTGTATAATTTATGATGACATGATACTAAACCCCTAACGTGAGGGATTGTGGTTGAATTTAATATGATGAAAACATAATCCTTCGATCAGTTTAATTGAGGTCTGGAGCTGGTATGTTAGTAAAATAAGTTTTACTGTGCGTATTCCACATTTGCTAGAGGCATAGGGGGAGGGTTCAGATCTCAAAAAACATATTTAACCCGTCGCATTTTTGCGCCTGTCCCATGTCAGGAACCTCTTGCCTTTGTTAGACGTGTGTGTTTTTCTAATTTTGGTTCATTTGTATGTTTTGGGGTTTAGTGTGACGTCCATTTTCGCTGAACTACTACACGTTATTGTTAAGAGCCAGCTGAAACCCGCCTCCGGGTGCGTGATTTTCTCGTTGAAGACCCATTGGTGGCATTTGGCTGTTTTCTGCTCTTTGGTTTGGCTGTTGTTTCTTTGACACACCCCACGTTTAATTGCTTGATACCTTATCAGACGTTCATAGTTTCAATATTTTACTTTCATTGGAAACCTTACGGTAGTATGGCTGTTTTCCGTCATCTTGGATTGTAAAATAGCAGATTACAATAGGTCTAGATTTTTAATCAAGTCAGCAAATTCAATGCAGGAGTGGAATTAATAAAAAAAGAATTTTTATTTAAATGTACAAATTTATGCGATTTTTAGTTAGAATAAACCTTTTTATTTACAAAAGTAAAATGATTTTGCTTGGTTTAATTCTTTATTACTTTTTCTATTAAGGGAAGGTAACTCATAAATAGTACAATGCATAAAGGAAACTCCAGGGAATGGTTCTATTTTATGTTACAGCAGGAAAAAGCGCACGATAACCCCATTTTTTCTTTAAATATTCTGAAAGTATTTTATAAGAGCTATCTTTTCAAATTTTATTTCAAAATTATATCATTTAGTTTTTCTTCTATTCACATTATGAGACGTTTTCTCTGTATAATCCATGCCCCTTTTTTTGTCCTTTTTTCAGCCTTTGTAACTTGAAAACCAGCTCGGCGACATATCACATTTATTAGATTTTTGAAAATATCACAATTTATACTACAGTTTGATACATATGAAAAATGTCTATCATTTTTAGCTCACCTGGCCCGAAGGTGAGCATACAAATGTCTTCTTTTAAAGAACCACTGAATGGAATGAAACCAAACATGGCATGGATGTTTTTTATGAGGTGCTGACCAAGTGTTGTTACTTGAAGCCTATCTTTCATCCAAGATGGCTGCCAGCGTGGGACTTTGTTTAACATAGGACCCTATGGACAATACATACAAATGTCTTCTTTTAGAGAATCACTGAATGGAATGAAACCAAACATGGCATGAATGTTCCTTATGAGGTGCTGACCAAGTGTTGTTACTTGAAGCCTATCTTTCATCCAAGATGGCTGCCAGCGGGGGACTTTGTTTAACATAGGACCCTATGGACAATACATACAAATGTCTTCTTTCAGAGAACCACTGAATGGAATGAACCAAACATGGCATGAATGTTCCTTATGAGGTGCTGACCAAGTGTTACTTTGTAGCAAATCCATCAACCAAGATGGCTGCCAACGGGTAAATTAGTTTAACAAAGGACCTTATGGGAAATATATTCAAATGTCTTCTTCTAGAAAACCGCTTAATTGATTGAAACCAAACATGGTATGAATGTTTCTTTTGAGGTGCTGACCAAGTGTTGTTACTTTGTAGCTGATTTGTCATCCAAGATGGCTGCCAGCAGGAGGAGTAAGTTTAACATAGGATCCTATGGGAAATACATACAAACGTTTTCTTCTAGAGAACCACTGAATAAAATGAAACCAAACATGGCATGAATGTTTCTAATGAGGTGCTGACCAAGTGTTGTTACTTTGTAGCCGAATCATCATCCAAGATGGCCGCCTGTAGGGGACTTAGTTTAACATAAACCCTATGGGAAATAATACAAAAGGTGCATTGAATGGAATGAAACCATATATGGCTTAAATGTTACGTATGAGGTGCTGATGAAGTGTTGCTACTTTGTTGCTGATTTACTGCTCAAGATGGCCACCAGGATTTTTTATTAAATTACGGGGCCAATATAAAACCAAATTTGGCCTCAATCATTATTAGGGTATCTGTTATGATTTTAATCTATTTTTACATGATTTCCAAAACCAAAGTAGAATCAGGTGAGCGACACAGGCTCTTGAGAGCCTCTAGTTTGTTTATATTCCAATACCACCTTAAATGCATGTTGTACATTCATACTTTATATTGCTACCTTAATCTTTTATCGTTAAGAAAAGAAGGTCCTTCGAAATAAAATTTCTAATTCAATCGCTACATGTTATCTCAAATAGTGGCTGCTAATAAATATCTTATGATCATCATGCATTTACTCTATTGCGATTTGCAAATTGAAATGTCAACAATATCGCAAATGTGAATCAAATTTTTGGCGTAAACTGAAGGTAATATATTTTTGAGAAATTTACAGCCTGAACTTGAAAAGAGAGACGATCTAATGTCAAAAGAAGCGCGGTAAATTTATCATTGTCTTAACTTTTTTTCACTGGTTAATATGTTTGTTGATATGTGATTCGACTTAGTTGCAGGCTGTCCATAATTTTGCAATTGTTTTTGGGGGAAAAAAGGGGGGGGGATTGGGCTTGGTCAATAACGTGTTACTAAGTTTAACTGAAAATTCCTTTTGACAATCACTGGGTCGATGCCATTCCTGGTGGCGGTTTCTCCCCAAGGGTATCACCGTATCACCAGCCCAGTAGTCAGCACTTCTATGTTGACATGAATTATCATTGATATGGCGATCATTATAAATTAACTATTTATAAAATTTTGAAATTTTCCAAATACTAAGGCTTTTCTACTTCAGGAATAGATTACCTTTGCTGTATTTGGCAATACCTTTCGGAATTTCGGGTCCTCAATGCTCTTCAACTTCGTACTTTATTTGGAATTTTTAGCTTTTTTGATTCGAGCATCACTGATGAGTCTTTTGTAGACGAACCGCGCGTCTGGCGTACAAAATTTGAATACTGGTATCTATGACGAGTTTATCTATAATGACTTAACCAATTCCTTACAGAAGAGTTATCACGTTGGACAATCGTCCAAAAATAAATTGCTGAAGAAGACAAGTAGATCAAAGAGACTTGCCATTGAAGATTCTGATAAGTACTGGGATAAAGGAATTGTTCCTTATACATTTACAGACACCATTGAAGGTTTGCTGTTAATTTTGCTTTGTATTGTAATGAAACCAATGCTTACACCAAAATTGTTATTACGGTATACATAATTCAATGTGGTGTTACAGGTGAAGAATGCCACAAAACGTCGAAATAAGCGTAAATTCATCGCGTTGTAAGCGGTGAAACATCGATTTTTGACGTTTTTCACTACAAACTAGGTAACCGATTGATTTATACATCGAACACAAAGTCGGTGACCCTATGAATATTTTAGCCGTTTAACTGTACCTTGACATTAATACAAAATTAATTTCCAAAATAAAATGCTGCTGTAGCAAACAAAACAAAAATCCCAAGGAAAACAAAACGACAACACACAAACTTTACCTCACCTCTGTATTGATTAGTAAATTATTCAAAAGACGATCGACCTTTTGAATTATTTATTATGTACATTAGATTTGAATATGAAAACACAAAAAGAACTATAAATAACAACTTTACTTTTATTTGTTCGTTATAATGAAAGGCTTTTATCGTAACAGATTTCAAACAACCGCTATACAACCTATATATATTTCCACAGCCAGTTAGTTTGTTTTCAGTCTCAATTAATTTTTTTTATCGATTAATAATTTAATGTCTCTACCCCAAATTGTGTGCAGGAAGTCCGTTGTATTCGACTTTACTAACAGTCCGTATAATCGACTGCCCGTTTACAAGTCTGTAACGCAAAATTTCGCACAATATTTATTCTGGAATGGCTTTGATTAATTTGATTTGTCATTGGATTTTTTTATGAGATAGAATTTTTGGGTCTCTAATTGCCAAACATGGATTCTGATACGTCTTCAGATGGGAAAACTTGTAAAATAATCAGCATTTTACATTGGTATGTGTAGAAACCCACGAAACAGATTCACTTCATACTAAGCAATCTGATTGAAATATAGATGATGTGTTCACGTTTTTCTTGCAAGGATCTGACAACCGTTCATTCTACTCTTTTGTTTTGTAGACCTTCTTGGGATCAATTTTTTAAATTGTTTTGAATCGAACGTCACTGATGAGTATTTTGTGACGAAACGTGCGTAAGGCATACCAAATGATAAGCTTGGTTTTTATGATGAGTTTATTCACCTGGTGGTTGTCGTTATGTGAACACGTCTTCCAAAAAAATGCTGGGGGAAGACATTTGGTTAATTATTAGAACAGAAAGTAGAACGGAACATTGTCAAATTCTTGATCCTTGTAAGCGAAGTGTGGACACATGATATATATTTCAATCACTTTCCAGAGCATTCGTCATTCCAATCTATCCTGTAGAAGATATATAAAAATTAAGCGAAACTATTTCATAAAACGTTAAACTGTACATTTCAAATTTTTGTTGAATCAGAAATTTTCATGTTATCGTTCTTTGTTACTCAGGCTTGCTTGTTTTTGTTTTTGTTCTGTTATGTTATTGTGTTTTTTGCACATGGGAAAGTGTGTCATTAAATAGTCACATTTTAAACTGGAATGGAGCGAAACTTACCAAAATTGTCCCAACATGAATAGTTGTGCATTTCAAAGTTTTGGGCAAATCGATAAAAATATTGTTACTGTCTTTTGTAAAATTACATAGGAGGAAACGGGAGACATTTTATTGTGTCAGAAAAAGGTTTGTTTTTTGTTTTGCTTGATCCTTGATCTTTGTTTTTTGTTTTGCTTGATCTTTGTTTCAATTTGCTTTGATTTTTGTTATTTGTTTCTTATTCTTCACGGTATTTTCTTCTTTGGACATATGACCTTGTATTATAGAAACTAACGTAATGTCGAAGATTAGAGCTAAAAGTAGATTCCATTACTGGACCTGTATCCGATTTGTTCCCTGGACATCATCTACTAGTCAACAATATTCATTGGATCATGATAATTATTTGATACATGTTGAGAAAAAAGGGTAAGATTTAACAATAAACACCTACTTTTAATCAACAATCGCAATTAATGAAAATATGAAAATGTGTAAGCCATTCACGTATAGACATCTTATTTCAATTTTATTAACGTCAAATTGCAATAAAAAACATCAATTGTATTGTTTTATACGAATAAATGTCTGACATATGAACAAAAAAGAAACAGTATAAACATTGATAAGACAGCAACCCACCAACAAATGTATATTAACTATCTGCTTGTAGACTTTCAAATATGAACAATAGCCGAAAATATATGGTACGTTCTAGCTCGCACTCGTCTGAATGAATTCTTCAAAACAATCAATCAGCATGAAAAGAACCCATTTTTGTTCCCACGCGTAACGCGTTGTGGTTAGTTAAATATCAGCAATATAGCTTAATATCAGCAATATCTCGGACAAGTTCTATAATGGTGGCCGATCGACTTTTTTTAAAAGAGTTATGCCCCTTAGAAATATTAAATTTATGGAAAATGGCCTCGTTAGCGCTCTCTCAATTCTTGCAAGATTTTTATAAAACTTATACTATAGGTTAATATCAGCAATTTCTCGGACAAGTTTTATAACGGTGGCCGATTGACTTTTTTAAAAGAGTTATGCTCCTTGGAAATATTAAATTTAAGGAAAATGGCCTCGTTAGTGCTCTCACGGGTACAATTCTTGACAGATTTTTATAAAACTTATACTATAGGTTAATATAAGCAATATCTCGGACAAGTTCTATAATGGTGGCCGATCGACTTTTTTTAATAGATTATGGAAAATGGCCTCGTTAGCGCTCCCACGGGTACAATTCTTAACAGATTTTTATAAAACTTATACTATATGTTAATATAAGCAATATCTCGGACAAGTTCTATAATGGTGGCCGATCGTCTTTTTTTAATAGATTTATGCTCCTTGGATATATTAAATTTATGGAAAATGACCTCGTTAGCACTCTCACGGGTACAATTCTTGCCAGATGTATAAAAAAACTTATACTATAAGTTAATATCAGCAATATCTCGGACAAGAGATATAATGGTGGATGATCGACTTTTTTAAAAAGAGTTATGCCCCTTGGAAATATATAAAATATGTGCAACGCGGGGGACATTGGAACTCTGTTCTTTTATATTCTATTATGACAAGAAAAAGGGAAGTATTATAAACAATACAGATTATGATAGCATGTAAATTACGTATTTGCAATTTAACACGATATATAATGTTCTATCTAGGGAATGGTTTCTATGAACAAAAATATGTTAATGTTTTAAAAGCACATAAGGGAAAACAATACTTTGTTTATCTTTAAGATGCTGGTCTCATGTTGGAAATATGAAAATGGACGGCCAGAAAATTTCATGTTGTAAAGGTGTAAGTATGCATCCTACTACTACGGGGGTGTTTAACGACCGTGACTACCCATGAGAGTATCGTAAGTATGCATCAATCCCCTTCTGGTTTGATTCTTCAAACTGAGGATAGAAGGTTTGATTTTCATGTCGCTACAGATCCTTCATAGCGTATAATAGACTGATCAAAGGAATATTTATATACAAAATAAACAAAATCAGAGAAACCAATTTTGAAGAAAAATACATATACTATTTATATTTAGCAGATTCTCAATTATATAAGTAACACTATTTATTCTAGGGAACTACAGTTAAATCAGATCGTTATTGTAACATGCAAAACTAGATCATGAAAAAAACCCGATAGAAATGTATTGTTAACTAAAAAAGCAAAATTACAATTCAGAGGTGCTGAATAAAATATAAACCTTCTGACGATTATTTTTAAGAATTTCTCCAACATTTTACAAAAATTTATCAAGAGGAAAAGTCTTGTTTCAAAAAACGCGTACCAAACATTTAACATGCTGCTGTTTCTTTTTATGAAAATACAACAATTTCTCAAGAGTATAAGCTCTTTTCCTATATTTTGAGGCATGGGGTGTGTTAACTTGTTCACTTAAGGTTTATTTTTTGTATATTACTTATTTTTTAGAAGTCGTTATGTGACCAGGGTTTTGGGGAATTTGTGCTTTATTTTATTTAAGGTAACGTGTATTCATGAACTTGGGCATGCGATTGGTCTTCACCACGAGCAAAAAAGTCCACTACGTGATGTATATTTGAGAGTAAACGAAGAGAACATTGAACCAGGTAGATATCTTTTATACACATTTCATATCTTGTTTGGGATGAACTGCACAAACAGTTTCTAATATCATTTAATACTAATACTAATCAATACTTAATTCAAATAATAAGGTATGAAGAAATATGTTTTTAAGGGTTCACTATTTGCCTTTTCAATAGCCTATACCATTGCACTTTCAAATGTAGTTTGCCTTTGTTAGGAGCCTTAAGAACATTCATTTCTCTAGATGAAATTAAAAAAACATAGGTTAATCATCAATTTATCTTTCGGACTTTCAACTTACTATTTATATTCTAGAAAAAATTAGTGGTTATAATGAGGTAGAACCAATGGAATCCAAAACTTTTGGATACTTTGATATGGCCAGTGTTATGTTGTATAATAAATACGTAAGTATCAATAGAAAAATGAATAAATAAACTGAATAACAGATGATTAGTAGCACAACTTCAGTTAAGAATGTAGACTACTGATATCTCTTGTAAACTGTTCACTGTGAGTTAAAAAAAACATATTTAAAAAAAATATATACAAAAGTAAACTGCAGTTAAATATTCCTCTTCGCCTACTTAATCTTTTAAGCTCAACACATTCGACATTCGGTTTATCGATAATCCGATGTACTGATATTATTTTCAAGTGGCTATCAATCCGATGAGTTGAAATGCTTCTTATTTTAAAGAGAAATTTTATTTTAATTTTTTTTTATAGATAAACTTAAGAAATATATGCCTTGTTAGCTCACCTTTCCGAAGGAAATGTGAGCTTTTGCCATCACTTAGCGTCCGACGTCGTCTGTCGTCGTCCGTCTTCGGCGTCCGTCTTCGTCGTCGTCCGTCCGGTGCAAACTATTTCAAACATCTTCTCCTCTGAAACTACTTAACCAATTCCAACCGAACATAAGCTGAATGATCCTTAGGGTATCTAAAATAAAGTTTGTGTTTTATTTTCTGTTTTGTCAAAAAACATGGCCGCCATGGCTAAAAATAGAACATAGGAGTGAAATACAGTTTTTGGCTTATATCTCAAAAACTAAAGCATTTAGAGCAAATCTGACATGGGGTTAAAGTGTTCATTATGTGAAATTCTATCAGCCCTGAAATTTTCAGATGAATCTAATAACCCATTGTTGGGTTGCTGCCACTAAATTGGTAATTTTAAGGAAATTTTGCAGTTTTTGGTTATTATCTTGAATATTATTATAGATAAAGATAAACTGTAAACAGCTAAAATGTTCAGCAAAGTAGGATCTACAAATAAGTTTTCATATGACCAAAATTGTCAATTGACCCCTTAAGGAGTAATTGCCCTTTAAAGACAATTTTTCACAATTTGTTAATCTAGTTTGCTTACTTTAAAAAATCTTCTACTTTGAAACTGCTGAATAAATTTCAGTCAAACTTAGGCTGAATGAGTTTCAGAGTATCTAGTATAAATTTTGTATTTTATTTCCTTGTATGTTAAGAAACCAAGCCACTAATAGATACAAAAACATTTAAATGGCATTTTTAAGCCACTCATTAATATATAATGAAAAGCAATGATGAAAGATTTAAGCAAAAAATTACAGGTGAGCGATTCAGGCTCTTGAGAGCCTCTTGTTAAAAGATTGCATTAAAAAAATCCGATTATATTATAAATTTTTTTTGTGAATAGGAAAAGACTACCGACATTAAAAAATGCTGAATTATAATGCCTTTTTACATGTTTAAACAACTTTATGGAGAAGATTGATAAAAAGTTTCTGAAATAGGTTTCTTTCTATGTTGTGATGTTACACTATTGTTTCAGAAAAAGGGTGAAGGTTTGGTACCATTAGAACGTTTAAACCCGCTGCATTTGTTTGCACCTGTCCTAAGTCAGGAATCTGATGTTCAGTAGTTGTCGTTTGCTGATGTGGTTCATAAGTGTTGTTTTTGTTTCTCGTTTTTTGTATAGATTAGACCGTTGGTTTTTCCCGTTTGAATGGTTTTACACTAGTAATTTTTTTGGGGCCCTTTATAGCTTACTGTTCGGTGTGAGCCAAGGCTCCGTGTTGAAGACCGTACTGTGACCTATAATGGTTTACGTTTATAAATTTTGACTTGGATGGAGAGTTGTCTCATTGGCACTCATACCACATCTTCTTATATCTATTTGTATCATCCCCAAAAAAAACCAGGAAGATTAGAGCTACCATCATGCGCGTGAAATTGCGAAAACTGTCCACATCATGTTATTTTTTGTATGAATGATAATTTTTTATCTGGACATTCTAATGAGTAAATGTTAGTTGTGTCACTTTGGTAAAATGAAGATATAGACATTTATTTCACCAACATGGTCAATTTTACACATAGTTTTACGCAAAATGACAAGAAGTTTCACACATTAACATTTTTATATAATATGACTGTAGGCAAAAGACTTGTTGGATTCTTTTGTCATCATTCAGATCATTCAAGAATGTTTCCATGTCCGTTTAACCTCCTCTAACGTCCCCTTTAATTTGCAAATAATCAAACATAGAAAGGGGAAAATGAAGATGCTTTCATGTCAAGCAATTTTATTTCAAATCACAACCTCATATGATCATACAAGTTTTGACAAATGCCCAAACCCCACAAGGAGATAATAAAACGCAATTTTTTATAAATTATTAAACAGCGCAAAATCCGTACCACACATTTAATAAAAAAGAAAACTTGACAAATATTTACAAATAGAATGTATGTCCATGAGTAAAAAACGCAAAGCTAATAGAATTTATTTGCTATGAATAATGCTACAAAAGTGTTGGGCATAAGATATAAAATACTATTAAATGCCTTATCCGTTACAATATATGATAACCAGAAAATTACAGCCCTGATGGTTTCTACTTAATTGCTTATCTGTTAGCCAAATAAGACAAACATGTTCTTAGAAATGACTATTTTGATTCATCCCTTGGACTTCCTGCTGTTAAACCCTTGCTCAAGTGGAGCATGCGTTTGGATGTGCAGAATGTATAAATACTCGGAATGGGGACGTTAAATCCGATGGTCGTTAAAAAATTATGGGGCCCGTATGTGGCCTGTTGCAAGGACAAACTTCTGTCCCTAACCAACATACCCTCATATTCCTATGGCATTAAAAATTTCGCGCCCTTCAATCCGGTTGACCCCTACCTTGCAGGACCTAACTCTTGTGTTTTTTGTTAATTTGGTCTCCTCCTAAACATGCATCAACTATTTGCAATTGGACGTCAACCAAACAACAATCAATAGTTTTTTCACATTTTTTTCTATGCAAAAATGTTAAATTATGTCTTTGGCAAAACATTTTGTTGTTACAGTGTTTTGAAAACGTTACACCAGAATATAGAACGTTTCTCTTTAACAGTAGTATTCAAGTTTACCAACAATTTTATTTGTTTTTGACCATGACATTTAGGCTTTTAAAATAACAATAATGATAGTAAAAGGAACAATTCAAATATCTTTATATTTAAGGCTTTTTCAAATAACGGCATGCCAACATTAACGTTGTTTGATTCCAATATGGAGTACCTTCTTACCAACCCAGATCCACATATGTACTACATGTTTAAAGAAGTTACATCTCTATATAAATGCAAAGGTGTGTATTTCATTTCTTTCAACTTTAAACCATAACTAGCATTAAAAGGAACTAAATTCAATACTTTTTTTAAATTTTTTTTTAATTTTTATTTCTCTAATTTTCTAGTTTTTTGCATCTTTTCAAATTATTTCGATTTTAGACATGCTTCTGTAAAGAGTAATGAAGCTGGCGAATTTATTGAACACTTCGTTCTACCCGACTGATTAAAGCTCTTCGTCTGTAATTGTGCTTTTTTTAATATTATACAACAGAATTTAAAGACAATAATCATTTTACTATTTGTCTACCGAAAGGGGAAAGCGTCATAGTTAATTTCGTAATTAAGAGGTAATATCTATAGTAGACATTGTTTTAACTATATGATACACAGTAAGTAATACTATTTTAATTATTTTCTTTTTTTTAGAAATGAAATGTTCAGGTTTTGCAACAGAATGTAAAAACGATGGATATGTAGCATTTGTTCGGGATACCTGTATATGCAGATGTCCTAAAGGTCTTGATCCAAGAACAGGATGCACCACTGTTTATCATGGAGGTAATTAAATAAAAGTGTACCAAAATAAACGATAACATAGCTTTCAACGCTATCATTTTTATCCTGTCCTTTGTGGTGTGCTTTAGGTAAGTGATAGGTATTAACAGTCAAAAGCAAAATATATTTGTTCTATAGTTGTAAGGTAAATCATGTTGAAATTTCAACCCAACAACACAAATATAAGAACATAAAAGATATTAAGGTTTTGATGGTGTAAAATTCAACAACTATGAGATTCATATCCCATATGCTGGAATGTGGCCACAAAGGAAACAAAAAACACTATTGGAAAGTTGCAATCATCTCTTTTGTCGAAATTCAGTATTCAACTAACCCTCATTGTCATTTGTATATGTACTCCAAGATATGAAGCAGACTTTACTGAATCTATGATATTCTTTATCGAATTTAATTTGATAGATGCTTTAAACAGTCACCAAACTTTATATCATTCAGTGAGAGAACATAATCTATGTATCGGAAGATAAAGGATAATGCTACCTCATTTTCGTGATGTTAAGATCTTAAAACGCTTTTGTATGAAATCTGCCTTATATGAATAAAGGAACATGTCGACAATCCAATGGTTTTATATAGGAATATGGATAATATGTTGAAAACCAAGTCTTCCAAACGTGATAATATGTTGTCAATCCATCAATTTCAAAGAACGTTTTGTATGAATCAGAGTGTTTTTATTTTTACACAGAATGATTTATCCATCCCTAAAAATCATATGTGAAACTACATTGGGCATTTTTTTTAAAACAAAGTCGGACAAACAGTTTCAATCTGTCTTTAAGTTTAGAATGAGGAATCTTGTGTAGAGGGTAAAGAAGTTAAATGTGTTTTTGCAAGAAGAAAGAGTCTTGGATTGTATATTGTAAAAGTTTTAATATCCATATCTGATTTACACTGGCCCTAGAGTAAGAAGTATGTCTTTTACTTTAAAGCCGAATTTCGATTGCTGATAAAATAGATGTCAACAATTTGGAATGAGGTTTCTTGTAGCATTTAGAAGACCTAGCAATATAAAGGTGTTTTGTAAGGACATCTGTGTAATTTGCATGTCAAATACTGTGAAGGAATATCCATTTTTTCATCTTTGGTTGATATTTCAAAAGGAACATAGAACAGACAGATGATTGTTCAGGATTTCCTCTTCAATTAATGTCGTAGGAGTATATGTATTTTTTCCAAGTGAATTGTCAATACCTAATTTTTTTATCAAGCTGATTATGTAATGTGATTTTACAAACTAAAACAATACGATATTGTAAGGGACTTTATCTACTAGGACACCAACCAATTTTTCATGGAGGTAGGACTGCTGATAAGTAGAAATTGGATCTTCAAAGAAAGATATACGTTTTCGTAGACCTGATACGTTTGTTTTAAATTCTGATTTGAATATACGGCCGCACAGACTTTACTAATTCGAAAAATAGTATTTACGTCTATCATTCCGCGGTCAGTCCATTGTTTGGCATAATGCATAATCCTTAACTGATTCCAATAGTGTGATCTACTAGAACAGTCTCACTAGTAGGACTTTTTAATACTATTTACTAGTTAGGATCTCATATGAATTGCGTTTGATCCTACCATAATACGTTTTCCCATGAGTATATTTGAATTTTTTCTTGGAAGTGCATTGATATTTACTATTCATCTTTCTTCATTTCTCATAATGTTTTTAAACATTTTGAATTTTGGAAAATGACGACAATATTATCTGTCGTATATATTGTAAATACATGTTATGCATTTTTGTATCTGATCTTCCCAACCTACCACAACCAAGAACATCAGAATCATATAAAACTAATAGTTGCAAACAAATAATTGAAAGTGCATACAAGATGCCATAACTTAACATTTTATTTTGTTTTGCAACAAAATGAACTGTTTTTTTTCAAAAAATATTTTCAGATAGAATATTGCAAGGATTGAGATGGCCGTTGGGTGCATTTTCAATCTTGAAACCAGAAAACGGATGTCCCTTAAACTACGAAGAAGGAAATATAATACAATACGTAGAAAGCATAAGGACATCAACAAAGTTTAACCTTGATTTTAGACACGAAACAACTAGCTTCGATTTCAATTTCTGTACTAAGAAATCAGACACAACAAGCGATAATCGTGCTGTTTGGGAACCTGGTCAGTATTGCATTCTGAGTCACAACGGATTGTGTCCAGAGGGTAGGTAGTAGAATTTTTACTGAATTAAAATCTGTATTCCAAGATTCAACCTCTAATGAAGTTGGAACATTAAGGCTCGTATTTGGCCCAAAATAGTATTCAAACATAGAAGTAAAAAACAAAAAAACATCACTACACGGAATGTTCTTACTAATGAAATTACAAATTCTGATACAGTCAAGGTCTCCTCTTCACAAAACTTTTGTTTGTGTAAAGTACAAAGAACTCTGTTAACATTTAAGATACATTACGTGGGTTTGATCGTCCTGTTAATTCGAATGACAGCGACGACTATTCGACTATCTACACTACACGTCCACAGAATCTTATCAGAACTTTTTCATCTAATCATATGGTCGCTTGAAACTATCTGATTGCAAATATTTTTCGTTCAACTCGTATATAGCTGTTTTCTGTAATAAAATACGTAAACATATTAGATGCACCTACTCCAATTCAAATGATATAATTTAATCTGTAATTTTTATGCTTGATATCTATGTACTTTTCGGCAATCAAAATTATCGACAGGTTGTAGATAATTCTATGGGCACCAATTGCATCCCATTAATAACAGACATATTCCTGTTTTTTTTTTAAATTAACCACAATTTTTGAACACACTCAATATATGATATTTTTTGCTTTAAATAATCAAAAATCTCTAGTGACACTGCGAAAATTTTCTCAAGGAAACTGACTATAAATAAATCAAATGATATCAGTAAAAATTGTCCTTTCTATCAGTTGAATACGGGAAAGTATAGTTTAAAAATTACGACAAAATAGACGATGTATCGTTCTCTATTTCTAATTTTTTTTTGGCACAATGATGTTCTTTTGACCCCTCCCTTCATACGATAAGGTTTTCCCATACTCGTTCGCTATAATCGTATCTGTAGTGACGTTTAAGATTAACATGACCGTAATCTATATAGAACTGGAAAATCATTATATCGGGGATTTCGTTCCCACAAAATACTTAAAATCTGTTAAAAACTTAATACAAACGGGAAATCACATACTTATATTTACGGTGATAATATTAATTGAGCCCGTAAATTTAGACACGATCCATATAAATTCATTTATTGTTTGGAATAAACTTATTTTGTAAGGTACTATATTAAGAATCGATAAATAAGGAAATTATTAAGTAAATGAAAAAAAAAAACACTTTATAAATTTTATGCGTCTGAAGCGCCTTTCTTAATTTTCCTTCATCAGGAACTCTCAAATCCAAATATTTGAAAGCCATGGATATATAAACACCGAAACAAGTGAAGAGCAATATGACCAAATTGGACCTTAACGTAATAGCGAATCAATCTAAGGTCAAATGATAAATTTATAAACGGACAATTTAAGAAAGGTATGTTATAAATCATGCCAGTACCGAAGCACTGACTATTTAGCGATGATGATAGCATCGGCAACTTAAAGTCTATAAGACCGGTGTTATGAAAAAAAAAATAAAAATTAAGAATTGTATGTGTCTGAGCGCTTTCCTGGATCTGACTGAGAAACAAACGTTCCAACTCCATTAGACAACGTTGACCTTAGGTAAATTTGACTATGCTTTTAAGGCCCAATTCGTGATATCGTTCCTAAAGTTTCTATGTAATTATACACTCCTGGCTTTCATCTACTATTTGAAATTGGCTTTGAACTATATCTGAGTAACGAATACTATAAGGTCGGTACTTTGAGCTATATGAGTAACGACTACTATAAGGTCGGTACTTTGAACTAGATCTCAGTAACGAATACTATAAGGTCGGTACTTTGAACTAGATCTCATCAGTAACGAATACTATAAGGTCGGTACTTTGAACTAGATCTCAGTAACGAATACTCTAAGGTCTGTACTTTGAACTAGGTCTCAGTAACGAAGACTATAAGGTCGGTACTTTGAACGTGATCTCATCAGTAACGAATACTATAAGGTCGGTAATTTGAACTAGATCTCAGTAACGAATACTATAAGGTCGGTACTTTGAACTAGATCTCATCATTAACGAATACTATAAAGTCGGTACTTTGAACTAAATCTGAGTAACGAATACTATAAGGTCGGTACTTTGAACTATATGAGTAACGAATACTATAAGGTCGGTACTTTGATCAAGATCTCAGTAACGAATACTATAAGGTCGGTACTTTGAACTAGGTCTTAGTAACGAAGACTATAAGGTTGGTAATTTGAACTAGATCTCAGTAACGAATACTATAAGGTCGGTACTTTGAGCTAGATCTCATCAGTAACGAATACTATAAGGTCGGTAATTTGAACTAGATCTCAGTAACGAATACTATAAGGTCGGTACTTTGAACTAGATCTCATCATTAACGAATACTATAAAGTCGGCACTTTGAACTACATCTGAGTAACGAATACTATAAGGTCGGTACTTTGAACTATATGAGTAACGAATACTATAAGGTCGGTACTTTGAACTAGATCTCAGTAACGAATACTATAAGGTCGGTACTTTAAACTTGATCTCAGTTGCTAATAATATATGGTCGGTACTTATTTTTTAATGTTTATACTAGATCTGAGTAACTAATACTATAAGGTCGGTACTTTGAACTAGATCTCAGTAACGATTACTATAAGGTCGGTACTTATTTTTTAATATTTATGTTGTGATTCGTGCCGATCTGATGTGTTGGGTTTTTAAATCGAATCCAATGATGAAATGTGAATGTTTGAAATGAAACAGTAACAATTTGTCTGGACAAATGAGAAATAGGAACACAACCATATAATATCTAGCAATTATTTTAATTACCTTTAAATGAGGTTAACAATCCCAAAAAATAATTCGAAGAGGCTATTTTTCAAAATATCACAAGAAAAAACCTGGAATATTGATTTTAAAAGCCCCGATTCATTTGTCAATATTTTCAACACACTTCTTCGAATGTTATAATGAAAATAATTTTAATCCTATAATTGAACTGAAAAATCAATATGTTGAGATTTATGTCTCCTTGTACAAACATCCAAATTTAAAAATAAGTAAGTTCAGTTATGGTCCTAAATTGCTCCAATTATTAAGTCCATTGTTTCACGATGAAAGTTTTTTTTCAAGTTGATCAAAAGACCTGTAAGAAAGTGAAATGGGACTATGTTTGTCGAGCAGTTCATATAAAGTGTAACATTTACATCCGAAAAAGGCCAAAAATATATTGGTGTTATGGTGAAAGGCCACAAACTCGTCCGGATTTCAACCATATTTTGGCTTAGGAAACGTAGAGCTTAGAGTTTGGCAAACTAAAATTGCAGTCAGATTTGTATTTTTTATTAACAAACATAATGTTTAAGGGTTTTTTTGTCGACTGATGCTCTGTATGTTTCTGGTCCTAACAATTAAAGGATCCAGACCTGTCTTCATTGATTCTAGAGAAAAATCAAAATTAGTGCTATTTGTGACGTCATTAAAAGAACGCTGAATCGTAAGATTTCAATTAAGAGACCGGTTTCAAATCGAGTCATAGTTTTAGCTATGATTCATAAATGAAATGGCTAACAAATATTTATTTGAAATCTTAGCTGGAAGAAGGGGCCATATGAGGGCCTTCTCGACTCCTTTATGTTGCTTTGTCATGTATCGTGAGTTGAAATTTGAAAAGCTATGTTAGGAAAGCAAATAATCATTATATCTTACATTTTTTAAGGTTCATGAAAATAACACTTGTTTAAACTTTATGCACCCGAAGCGTTACAGTTGTTTAAAATACAGTTGAATAACATTGATGTTGCCATAAATGAAGAAATCGATGCAGGATAAAACTTATTTGCCTTTAACCTGTGAATATGAAAAAAAGGTGAATATGTCATTTCAAGCTAATATCACCCGACATTCGATTTCAATTCGTGTACTTTCACATTCAGATCTATGATCTATGGCTATACTTTTTTGTCCTTTTTGATTTATAGCTCTTCATCTTTTTAATAAGCTTTGGATTTTCAAATATTTTGGCCTCGAGCATCACTGAAGAGACATTGATTGTCGAAATGCGCATATGGTACAGACAAATTGGTACCGTTTATGTTATTAATCAACTTCTGTGATATTCTTCAAAAACGTCTAACATGAAATGGAAACTGTGGCTAGTGGTGTCACATTTTTTAATTGACGACTATTAAATCGAACAGTCCCAACCTTTTGTACCTGTCATTAACCAGAAACTGTTTACGCTTGTTTTCATTTATATGTCAGTGTATGTTGCATTTTGTTGTCTTTTCGTATTTTTTCATTTTTTTTTGTCATGGCGTTTTCAGTAAAAAGTAAAATAACAAAAAAAAAAAAGAACTCAAAGCAAGGGAAATTCAAAACTGAAAGTCCCTAATCAAAGGACAAAGTGTAAGGCTCCAAAACCTGGTTTTATAGCTAGCAAAACCTCTCACTTGTATGACAGTCGCATAGCATTTCATTATATTGAAAACAATGTGTGAGCAAAACAAAGAGGCATAATAGGTAGAATTGTCAAATATTGAGGAACAGCAGTCAACATTGTGTTACAATCTTAATCACTTTTTAAATAACTATTTCAACAAAGAAAAGTTACCTACGGTATCTTCCGTCTCGCTTTAAACGAATTTGAGGATGACGGCAGACATAAGCACATAGTCTATCGATTTTACTCACATTTTCCATTCTTCTTGGTGAGATTTACAGCTTAATATATGGTAAAGACACTTTTTTGACAGCATGGTTACTTCTAAATTTCTTTTCTTGTTTATCGTGCTGTTGGGTTGCTAACTCATTGACGCATACCCAAAATCTATATCAATATATAATTCACATTCTTCTTGAGGAGATTTTCAAAGTGAGTCCCCAGGCACCGGGACAGAAATCCAATAGGTTCATGAGCCGTTGGAATGAAATTTTGTTTAACTGTTCAATCCAGCTACTTCAACTGTTACTTTCTTTTACAACCACAAATCACAAACAAATTGTAAATGAAATATCTGATATCATCAAACGTGGTCACATTTCACGTGACGATTTACCTAGACTAAAACGTCGATTCGAAGATATCGAAAAAATTGAACAATCAAAACATAGGGAAAAATAAAGGAATAAATTTCAAAGAGATAAAGTTCACACTGTTTCTTTAAATCAGCATACTAATGATATCAATACAACAAACCATAAGGCCCCTAGAAAAAGAAAATTTAAAAGACGAAAACAATAAAATGAAAGTATTGTTGTAAATTTGTCATCTAAAGAATAACACATGCAGAAGAATCTCTTTTAAGTAAAGGTTTAAACTTCTGTCCTATCCCATCAAATGTAAATAACTTTCAGCTAGACGAGGACTTAGACCAATTCGCTAGACGTTTACGCTTGAAAGATTTTTTTTACAATAGGGGCAAGAAACACCTTGAAGAAGCCGGATTAAAAGATCCAGATACTGAGGACAATGAAGAAGTCACGCCCAACCCAAAATTTAGAAAGAAAAGTTCATGGAAACCACCAAAAAGTAAAAACGAAAACATGGAGTCATTTATTAATTACGTGAGGTCTGATGTAAAGTCCTGTTTAAACAAATAAAAGAAATTATGATTTATCCAAGTCAGAAAGCATCGCTTTGAAAGCGTTAGAAGAACAAGAGGATATTGTAATAAAACCTGCAGACAAAGGGGGCGCTGTGGTTGTCATGAATAAAACAGATTACATAGCAGAGGGGAATCGTCAACTGTCAAACTCCAATTTTTACAAGCAATTAACCACAGATCCAACACAAACTACCATTCGAAAGATCAACACCATCCTTTAAGAGATGTGCGACCAAAAGCATATCGATAATGACACCTTTGAATATCTTCGACCTCTTGAGAACGAAGCAAAGGCTGGAAGATTCTATATGTTGCCTAAAATACACAAAACTGGCAATCCAGGTCGACCTATTGTTTCAGCGAATAGTCACCCAACTGAAAAGATATCCGAATTTGTAGACCATCACTTAAGACCTCATGTTAAAGAACTACCCTCTTACATTCAGGACTACAGATTATTTAAAGAAAATGGAAAGCCTTAATCCTCTACCTGACAATACTATACTCGCATCCATGGACGTGTCTTCTTTATTTACCAACATTCCACAAGACGAAGGAATAGCAGCGTGTGAAGAGGTATGGAACACCCGTAGTGACAAAAATCCTCCAACTGAATGCCTTGTTACACTTCTGAAACTAGTGCTGGAGAACAACAACTTCAATGCTCTTTCAATGACAAACACTATCTCCAAATAGACGGCACTAGCATGGGCACAAAAATGGCCCCGTCATATGCCAACATATTTATGGGCCTACTTGAAAAACGCCTCATGGCCAGTGCTCCATACCAGCCATTATCATGGTTTCGTTTTATTGACGATATTGATTTTAAATCCTATATGTTCTCCCATTTATTTGTATTGTGGTCCTGTCATGTGATGTTGTCGTTTTGGTGTTGTGTTTGACGTTGCCATAAAAGCGGGAGGTTTGACCAGCCACAAAACCAGGTTCAACCCACTATTTTTTTCTTAAAATGTCCTGTACCAAGTCAGGAAAATGGCCATTGTTATATTATAGTTCGTTTCTGTGTGTGTTACATTTTAATGTTGTGTTTTTGTTGTGTCGTTGTTCTCCTCTAATATTTGATGCGTTTCCCTCAGTTTTAGTTTGTAACCCGAATTTGTTTTTATCTCTATCGATTTATGAGTTTCGAACAGCGGTATACTACTGTTGCCTTTATTTAAATGGCCAGATTCACAAGACCATCTGAATGAATTTCTTCAACACTGTCACTCTTTCCACCATTCAATTAAATTTACACACGAAACATCTATGGAGAAAATAAACTTCCTTGATACTACGAGTTACATCCAGAACTGAACCATTATAACGGACCTTCATACGAAAAAAAAAACGGACAAACATCAATTTCTTTCTCCTAAAAGTTGCCATCCTAAACACTGCTCCCGGGGTATCCCATTCAGCCAGGTATTGCGAATAGAGAGTATGCTCAACCGAAAATAAGCAAAATGCTAGATTTGGACAACAACGTAAACATCTAGTTGTTCGGGGATAAAATAACAACATCTTTGATACAGCTTTCGAAAGAGCAAACAACACTAGTCGCCAGGAACTTCTGAAGTACAAGGATAAAAATAAAGGAGTCAACAGAACACCTCTTGTACTCACTTATCATCCTGATTTTAAAAATGTGTCATCCATTGTTCAAAAGCATTGGAAAATTGTAGAAAATGACTCCAATTTAAAAAAAAGTATTTTCCTCACCACCAGTCATGGCCTTCAGAAGACATAAAAACATCCGTGATAAATTAGTGACAGCTGTATTAACAAAACAACCTACTCCACCTCCCGGTTGCTACAAACAATGTGGCAGAAGGAATTGCTTATGTTGTAAATCTGCCAATACAAGCAGTTCTTTCATCAGCTCCTTTACAAAACAAAGGTATACCATCTACTCAAATTTTAACTGTAAAACGGTGAACTCAATTTATGTATTAACATGTAACACTTGTGGCATTCAGTATGTGGGAGAAACAATGGATAAATTTAATATTCGGCTTAATAACCATCGTTCATGTTCATGGTACAAAACCAACAAAAACTGTCCTCTCACAAGACATCTTCGCGCAAAGAAACATCCTTTTGATAATGTTACTTTCCAAATCATAGAAGTTAACACCGAGTGGGACACCACGGCGAGAAGGAGAAGAGAAAACTTTTGGATCCACCAGCTCCACACTTTAGAACCTGATGGTCTTAATGAAAAAGACGAGAAAAGATACAGGAAAGATAAAGAATAATTTAGTACACAGCATCGTCCTTTTTATTCTGTGATATTGGCCAATGGACGTTGCAAACTTCAACCACCAATTTTGTAAATAATTTTGAACTTCATCCAAATTTTGAATTCTTTACAAGACAGCTAAATTTATGTACAGTGAGCTGCAAAAGTTTCTTATCTACATCCGATTTCACCTGGATAAATGCACGCTTGATGAAGCTAGTTTGTCTAGCGAAATATTGCGTTTATTTTTTATCGCGTTGTAAATATTTTAAACATTCTAATATTTACATACTCAATAGTGTGTTAAAATTACATTGTTAGGCAATTTATAATTTCATTTGTGTAATTGAATTAATCTTTGTACTGATTAATTACCACTCAAATAGATTCGTATGTTATGTGTTGATATTTATAGTTACTTATACTATATAATTCACATATATAGATTGTGGTTTACCATCTACGTCGTCTGGTCTGCTTAGTACCGAACGTGACCTATTCCCGAATATGACTGTTTTGCCGAGTGTGAATTCGCATTGCTATACGACGTGTCTCGGTATTTATATATCCAACATTCGTGTATTTAGTTATGATGTTTCTTTTGTAAGTTCGATTGGAAACTTTGTTATGTTTTATGTTCGCTGTTGGAGACGACGTGGTTCGGTATTTATAAATCCCGCTTTCGGGAATTTTGTTGTTACTTTCGTATACGTGTGGGTCCGTCGGGTCATTTTGTGCTGAGTTGTTGTCTGTTTATTTCGTTTGTGGTTTGAATATTGTATTTTCGGTACATTTCAGAAATGTCTTATTTGTCAGTATAGTCGAGTTACTTGTGGTTCGACTACAGGGTTTTTGTTTTATGTTGTTTGTTTTCATGTGTGTTTACTGTCTGGTCTTACATGATCTTGCCTTATATTACACTTATTTTATTTTTATTTTCTATATGAATGTAAAAGTTAAAATAAAAAATCAGCTACTTCAGTTATATGATTTTAAGTTTCAAGCAACTAAATGCACAGGATTTTTTTGATTATACACAATTTTAATTTAGAAGAAAAAGCGACATGGTTAGAAACTACAAATAATAAAACCATTACAAACACAATTTCATTTAAATATTTTGTCATGGTTAGAGAATACATAAAATAACACCATACTCAAACTCAATCCCAATTTACTATTCTTGTACGTGTCTATAAATAAAACTAATCTATTTTATTTTTAGAAATTTTCCTGTGATAATATAAACGTCATAAAAAATACGTCACTTTTTGTGAGGTTGATCCATTCATGTGTCGCGCAGTTTATATTTCGTTTGTGGTGTCCTGGTGTGCTTTCGTAAATTTATGGGAGGTGTCCGTTGTTACTCTGTGGTTTACATGTTGTAATGTACTATCATCTTATTTATTTATGTATTTCTCTGTGCTGAGTGTTCTTGCGTTTGTTTGTACTGTATTCCTGTTACGTAGTGTTGTCATTTTAGCGGTATTTTTAACATTGCCATATAAACGGGAGGTTTGGCTAGCCATAAAACCAGGTTCAACCCACCATTTTTTTTTCTAAAAACGTCCTGTATCAAGTCAGGAATATGGCAGTTGTTATCTACAATATGTTTCTATGTATGTTGGCGTTTGCTTTTGTTGTAGTTCAGTGTTTCTGTTGTTCCGTTGTTTTCCTCTTATAGTTGATGTGTTTCCTTCGGTTTTAGTTTGTTACCCGATTTGTTTTTGCTAAATCGAATTATGACTATTGAACAGCGGTATACTACTGTTGCCTTTCTTTATAAAGCAGTAGTATTTATCATGAATAAAATCATTAGGAATAAATACAAAAAAGACAAGATTGACAGAATCCCATTTGTAATAAAAAATCAGACCTTTTTGGTGTTATCATTTGGACATTTTAGACAGATAACAAGAATGAGTTGGATATGCAGTATGTATATGCAGTTGATGATAAAGGGATATTTAAATGCTTGTAGAGGAAAAGAAAAATAGAAAAATAATTTATATTGCTTTGTTAAACACAGTTGTGTTACATTTCTTTCAGGATTTATTGAGGGATTCATAAAGTTTGGCAAAGGCGATGTGAAGATTATTAAGAAACCAATACCGGACGGGAAGTTTACAGGTGACTCCATGGTATGGCATTTCTGTTGCAGAGAAGACGGTAGTTGGAAAGATCCGTTATATCTACCAACTAAAGAACCATTTACATTATTCCCTACAGACAGTGAATGTCAAGAGGTGAAAGGTAACTTACCTTTATTGATTTTCTAATGATCTTTTCATAATAATAGTATATAACCATTGAATATGTCATTTAAATGTCAATGTGCCGTTTTAGTAGAGGCGGTGTTGCATGTTCTATACTTTTTTACGCTGTGTGCTTGTTTAATCTTGTTTGGCATGTGTTTACCCACATGTTGAAAAAACCTTAAAATATATTATAAGGGATGCACTAGTTTACATATGCTTGAACAAATAATAAACTACATATGCTAAATAGGAACAAATCACTTACAAGTAAGATCACTTTGAATATAACCAAATGCGTTTTCTGAAACCGACATCATCAAGTTTTACTCAGTAAACAATCTGCAGTACATGGAAATGTTAAATGACGTTTCGTTCATCCGAATAATCTAGTAAATGATGAACATTTTAAAGACGTATGTTTTAATTCTTCTACACATTCATTTGTTTAAAAAACGAAGGCTTCAAGGATAAAAGAAAATAATTGTTACGAAGGTAGCTGACTTTCACCGTATCAACAAGCAAAATTACGAAATAAATAAGAAATTGACAATCAAATAGCTGTGTTTCACTCTTCAAATCTCAATATTTCGAAGTAACTCAAAGTATATTATGTAGTAGCACACGATTTGTCATTCTTCTTTTAGCTTGAATTTGATTTTGTTTGTTTAACAGTGTGCATTTATTTTTGTTTTTAATATTATTTTTTAAATTGAGATATGAAAGCAGAAAAGCAGTGGTTCATGCTGAAGGGTGGCAGCAGAGTCCAAATTGCTGGGTTAGCACCAAATTCCCGGATAGCAAGAATAACGTCGATTTTTATCAACTTTTGCTACTACTGGCCAATTAATTATGGTATGCTTATACATCTTTAGTTCAGTATACGAAATATTGTTCCACTTGTAACTAGAATACAGCAAACTAAAGATAATGATAGAAATAAAGAAAACACCGATGTCTGATATAGGGAATTGTATTATTGCCTATAACCTTTACTCTTTTGCATTATGTATTCTGCTTTTGTTTATTTTCTACTATCAATAATAGGATAAGTGTGGTTAATGAAAATATTAAAGTCAATCATATCAACATCTACAGTTGCTGATACTGTTTTTTATTATAGGATAAAGCCAAGGCCAATTCTATTTAATATAACTATAAATTGCTCATTTTAGATAGTTAAATAGAACTACTGTCGATATTCCTGACATATTATAAAGATAGAGATATGTGACGGGTTAAATTATTTTTATCACATTTTAGATTGCGGTGACATAATAACGGTTTCAGAGGAGAACCCGATGGCCATCATAAATTCTCCAAACTTTCCACATACTTATAATTCTAAACAAGAATGTAGCTGGACAATTAAGGTAAATCTAATTGCTTAAACAATCTGTAGACAATTATAAGAAGTATGATAACAGAGTAGTATTAAGTTCATTGCATATCATAAAAATAATACGTTAAAGGTATGTTTAACCATAGTGATCATGGTACATTCTAACAGTTATTTCCTCAGATTTTGTATTGAGTCTACACGTTTTCCGAGAACTCCAAGTAGACGTTCATTTGTCTGTGAATTTTCAAAATTGTCTTACAAATGTAGCATGCTTATTTATTATTTATACTGCAATCAGCTATTTTACTATACAGATAAAGCTATACGTATAAACATTAGCTTTATACGTCAATGACCTCAACTAACCTATTAGCCACGCCTACTTACCGGAACTACTGTATTTCATCAACAACGTCACGTCACAACCATGACAACGTGTAGTAACAATTGTCAAACTTTTGTAAATTTAAACTTGTTGTCTTGAAATTCGTAATTTACATACCATGTTTATTAAATATTATTAAATTATTTTATTTTCTCTTTCTAATTCCTAAAAATGTCAATGTCTTATCGCCTGGACTTTATGAGTTACTACGCTTATAGGGAAATACCCAACAATGGTACACCAAGAGGGAAATTCCAAACACTTTTTTTTTAACAATAAATTTGTTACGTATTTTATTTTTTTTAATGTTTTTTATCGATTTCAGTATAAAGACAATATACGTATAGTGTCTTGAAATATGAAATTTATTTGTATTCGGCACGAAACGGGGAAATGCTCGGTAAACCTCGCATTACCCCCGTTTCTTAGCCTCATACAAATAAATTTCATATTTCAAGACACTATACGTATATTGTCTAAATATATTGTTTTGTTATAATTCAGGCCGTTAGTTTTCCCAACTGAATTGTTTCATATTTTTCATGTTGGGGCCTTTTATAGCCGACAATACGGTATGGGTTTTTCTCATTGCTGAAGGCCGTACGGATGCCTATAATTGCTTACATCTACTTCATTTGAACTTGGGTGGATAGTTGTCTCATTGGCAATCATACCACATCTCCTTATTTTTTATATTATATCAAACAACTAAAAACATTCATTATTTTACTGTTCATGAAATGATGATATAACATGAGGATATTAACGGACAGAATTCTACTTCGTCAGAATTGTCTCCCCATAACACGTACAGATTTTTCAATCATGATAGTGGAAGCCATTGTAGGGGTGAGGCACTGTCAATTTAGCTCTTGAAAATCGATATAATATTCTAATTGTGTCATTTCGATACTTACTTGTAAGCTGTATTCTAAAAGACAAATGTTTCTTCCAGCTAATAAGCATAATCGTTATTGTTTGAATGGTTGTCAAGGAAATTTTCAAAAGTTCAATAGAAAAAAAAAAAGAATATTTAAGTATTTCGTGGAAGGGAAGACTAGAAATTCTCAACGATTGAAGACTAATTATATTCTACATAACACACACAAAGTCATTTTTTAAAGTTATGTATTTTTAAAACCCAAGAGTAAAGTCTGTCTTAAAGGACTTTTGGCAAAAATGTAAGGGTGTGTCAGTGAACGGATTAACAGACTTTACTTTTTCTAGTACATATTCATAAAAAAATAATTTTAAGTACTCCTTAATTTCGATTTTTAAAATGAGTGAACGAAAATTAAAAACAAGTATGTGATAAACTAAATATTTTAACATTTGTAGTAGCAAGAAAGGTGTTTTATTTTGTTATTTGGACACACTTACTCTGTTGTGATGACTTTTTACAAAGGTATTTTATTTGACTCATACATATGATTTCTTAGTACTGACAGTGTGTATTTAAATTTTATTTTATCAACATGTAGCCTAATAATTTTAAAAGTAATGAATCTGAGGCACGATGATATCTCATCTGTTTTTGTATTATACGTTTGAAGGACAAAACAATTGACTCAAAAACGTCTGAACGGAAAAAACACTACCTGAATTTTAAGATAAGATGTTTGCCCATTTTCAGGAATTTTCACCATAATACTATTGTCAAGGTACAGTGCCAACAGTTTCTATGCATTAACTTTTGAAAAGTTTCATCAATGATTTTCAAATTATCTTGTGTTGTCACTGATAACTAAATGGAGATTATGTTTGATATTGACGATTTCAACTTTTACCGTTTAGGAGTTATGGTCCTTGATAGATTGGAAAATGGCACTTTATGTCGTTTTCGTGTCACAACTTTTTTAGTTTGTTGTTACTCATGACAAAAAATGGAGGTCAATTTCGATTTTAACGATTTTCATTTTTACCGTTCAAGAGTTTTGGTCCTTCATATATTGGGAAAAGACATTTTATGTCTTAAACGGGCAATGACTTATGAACCGTTCCACCAATACATTCAAATTGTATTATGTTGTTACTGATGACAAAATGAAGATACAGTTAGATATTTCCGATGTTCACTTCTATTGGTGCCATTTATGTTACAACTGTTTAGGAGTTACGGTCTTTAATAGATTGGAAAATTACACTTCATGTCCTTCCCGTGCAATAACTTATGAACCGTTCAACCAATGATTTTAAACTTTAAATATTTTTTCTAAGTGATGACAAAATAGAGATCAATATTAGATATTTATAATTTTTACTTGTGCCGTTTTCAACAGGATATACGCATGTTTGATGGACGGGAGTCATGAAAGGCCATAGTTGGTCTCAAATTTGACAAAAAATAAGACATTATCCAGAACAAACTATTTCGTATTATCGGATATAATCGGATTGTAATACTTTAAAAGAAAGTTAAATGTTTTTCTCTTGTCTAAATTTTAAAGGGTCAATGTCAAAGCAGCAATTAAGTAAAAAGTGCAAAAAGTATTTTTTTCAACACCATAAGTAGACAATGCAACCTCAGAATACGAAATTTTTCGTTAACCCTGATATTTAGAATTAGTTAGTGTATTTGTTTCAGTTGTAAAAATGCTAAATATGCTATTTGGCACAATTGGAAGGTCATAATGACCTTTATACAAAATGATTATAAAATACTCAATCCATTTACTTATATATGCATAAACACTTTTCAAAAGAATGAGACAGATTTTGTGGTTCAACAACCGTCAAGTAAAACAGTAAACCTGACTGTTCATATTGGTTTTGATATGAACAAAAACGAAGAGATGATCTATATGCCTCTTAGAAGTAAGTTGCAGAGCTCAATGATAAACTTTTTCAGTCAACTATTCTACAGCAAAATAAAATGTAAAGAGAAGTATGATAGTAATAAATTACCCCTCGATCTAAATTTGTGAAATATTGTTCCCAAATTCAGAAAAAAACAGAGGATGTTCTTTTGCATTCTGCTATTTATCTAAATAACAAATCATAAATGGTAACGGTCAAACGTATGTTTACTTTCAGAGTCCTGAAAATACCAAAATGAAGCTGACATTTGATAAATTTGACATTGAGTCAACTGTTGACAGTGAAACATCCTATCCCGTATGCGATGATTCATTAGAAGTACGATTTACACTACCAGGTCATCCAGGCGTCAAGTAAAATATTTTATTTGCAAAACATGTTTTTGATTTAATATAAGTCTTTTCATTTTAATCCACAATTTTTTGGACTACATCCCAAATACTTCTGACAGATATTATAGATAGTACTGAAAAGATTTAATAGTTTGATACAAAAAGCAAATGAAATAAAATTATGTTTACTTAACCAACTTGAGCAGGAAATCTTAAAATAGTTTTTCTGCTCACTTATGGTTTCCGTGTTAGTATGTAAATTCTGATAAATAGTAAAATCCGGAAGTCTGCTGTCTTGTAGAGAAAGAGATTAAAAAATATTTTGAAGCACAGTATATTTAAATAAAGCATCCATTAATATAGATAAATTTATATTGCAAAAATGTTTTGTAGTTACTGCGGACAAAGGTTTAGCTCTATAATAATTACAGAAGTGAATTACATTGGACTAACATTATCGTCCGGGTTAACAGGAACCGGAAATGGTTTTAAAGCTTTTGTGTCATTGATTACTGGTAAGTATATTCTATATCGGATATTGCACTATAATATCGCTTAGGTTTAAAATAGATTTCTGTCTCTGTTAATTATGACTATATTGTATATAAACTGTTAGAACATATAAAGAACATACTTAGCAATATCTTTTAAAGGACCTGAAAATATCTGAAACTTTTTTTGTTATGCAATGAAGTGCGAAATCCCATATTATGTTGTTAGTCGTATAGGAAAAGACGTAGAAACGATACACATGATAAATGTTGTAGGAATCTAATGTTGATGGCAGGTATTTGAAAGGGTTTGTTGAATATATGCACAAATTTTCTAGACCCAGTTTTAGAGCTTGACATAATGTAAAGACAGATGTCTACTGTCAATTGCCTTCTATATGAAATGTTTTAGAAAAGTACTCTCAAAAAAGTATTAACAAAAATACCGACCTCCAAGGAATCAAAAAGACTATAAAAACTGACAAAATCAAACGTTAAACTTTTATTAACCAACGGACCGGATGAAAAAATACTGTCATATTCCTAACTTGATATAGGCATTTTCCGAAGAAAAAGTTAAACCTGGTCTGATAGCTAGCTAAACCTCCAATATGTATGACAATTGTTCATAGTTCCGTTATATTGACAGCGACCCCAAAAGTCATTATATGTGAATGTGACAATAATTTGGATCCAGCAGCCATAGCTAGGAAAACATACGTCATAGACATACAACACAAGTGACAAAAAATTCAAACAAACATACAAATACAAGTTATTAAGTACTTAATTAACACGGAATTATTATTCAAACAGGACATCGCTAATACTTTGTACACCACTATAACAGTGTTTTTTCCCCGGCAACTGCGATACGTAAAATCAACTTTCAAATTATAATTCAAGTAAAACGAAAATTAAAAAGCAAAAACAGTTTACTAAAGTTCATGTTACAGTTTTATATGCACATTTGTAGATATACAAAATATCCCAAACTAGAACTAGAGGTAATCTTGATTTTGCTTTGAGGCGAGAGTTTTTGCTCGAAATTGCATTGAAGGCCTCACTTAACTTTGAGATTACAAACTGTAATAAAGGCATTGTTTCTTTGTTTTTTTTCAAGCGTGTAGTGATTTTGTATCACGAACAGTTACACCATCTCCGTTCTTATCAAGTACTCCAAGATGATTAAAAGATCATTTAATTTTAAAGTAAGCAAATGATTATTCAGAAACCACTAAACTGAGAGACAGACATGAACTACTAAATAACAACTTAGAATGATGAACTGAGACGGAAGGAGTCTACGAAAGTATGATTTGATGGATTGATTTACTTTCATTTTTTACATGCGCATGATTTTAATCATATTTTCTTATAATAGATAAAGACATGTGCTACACTGGTAAAGGTAATGATTACCGCGGCACAGTGAATGTCACAAGAACGTTTGAATCATGTTTACCTTGGACAAGAGTTCAAAACTGTCCTCATCACGCATTTAATTCTGGGTAATACTCTATGTTTCAGTCATAAGTAAATTCAAAAATTTCTCTGCTTATACAATTTCTGTTAAAAATCTTACGTTCTCTTAAATTATCAAATTGAAAAATGGCATTGATAATCAATCTTTTTATACCGTTTTGTTAGAAATATTTTTAATATTTTCTTGAATAAAACATTAAGCCTTGTGTGCTTATTCTTGTCATTTCTAGTATCTGTACGTTGTTTTGTTTTCACTTTCGTTTATAGACGAATTCTATTTGATTAACTTGCTTATTATTTGGAAACTCAGTAAAGCTTTAAACTTTTTTTTAAATGACCAAAGAATTACAGAAAAGCTTTTGCTATGATTATTCTGTATCTATTCGTATTCCTATATATTGTTTTTGAAGTGTAATCATATTCACAAAGAACTAATGTGTTAATACTTTATTTAGTGATTTAGACGATGATTTAGTTGACAATTACTGTAGAAATCCGGGAAGTGGAACAAAACCATGGTGCTATACTCACTATGAAGACTGTAACAGAAATTATTGTGATCCATGTGGCTTAGGTAAAATTCGTTGACATAAATAGATGAAAGGAAAACTGGGGAAAACAAAATCACATTTCGTCTTTTTAAAAGTATTAGTAAATCAATGAAAAATATATCAACTCTTAGGAAAAATCTGATGTCAATTGGTTAAAAACAAATATATTTACTATTTTCAACTGCTTTTCATCTAAATCATAAATGGAATTTGAAGTTAATGTTTTTTTTTGTGCAAAGATGAAAAAACAAATCTTATAGAGCAGACAGATGCATTATGCAAAGTTTAATCGGCATAACCCTTAGATGCTTCAAATGTTCATGTTAGAATGTTCTCTTATAAATTTTTATACACCATTACTAGTGATTGAGTAATTGCATTTAATTTTTAGTTTTAAATTTGGTGTTCAACATGTCAGCAAAGTATGAAAAAATCTTTTTCAACAAAGACCCCTATCTACCTCAGGTAAAACGATATGTTCAAAATCGTGTTATGATGTCTTGAAGTTTATACAAAGCTATTTCTGATTCAACTAAAATATTTTGTTTTTATTTTCTGGTTCTGATTAACAGTTCTAATTAAACGTTCTATTTATTTGTTGTGAGTACTACTTACAGTGGAAACCAGCATTTGCTACATACGAACTGTGTTTCCTGATAAAAACGTAGAGTGTAGAAAATTTTGGTTGAAAATAAGTGCGTTCTAAATTTTGAAATAAACTGCACTATAAAGTTTAAACTGATGTTTCATCTCTTAATGATAAAGATGACCTAAAACTACTTTTTACTGCTGTCTTAAGCTTAAGGTCTGCTGTAGCTCAAAATACTGCTAAACTTGCACCATAGTCAAATTGAAGATTATTTTATTTTCACAAAGTAATTTTTCACGATGAAAGTAATACATTTTCCCTGTGCATGCCTAGATATTACAAGTCATTCAGATACGACAAAGGCAAAACAATATTAAAGATATGGAAAGAAAAAATTTTGGGACGTATTACTAGTACCATGAAACCTGTTTTTACAATATTTGAATTATAAAGGTATAAATGAGTGACTAATTGTTTAGTGATATATTCGCAACTCCAAGTTTATTAGAAGTAGTATACATTAGCTCAAGATGATTGTTTTGCTATTAGCTACGTAATTTATCGTCTTTACATTTGTTCAAAGAAAGTTGTTATGATTTGTTGGATGACTGTGCTACTCTTGTTGCTGAAGAACCAACATTTTGTCAGAATAATGTAGAAGCACAAAGAATTTGTAGACAATCTTGTGGATTTTGTATGATGGGAAAACCAAAACCAGGTATATAAAACACATCAAAGTTATATTCAACTAATAGATATATCTTTTCAACTCTTATAAATCTAACTGAAAAATAGATATTTATATACTTTTTTTTACCTATATGGTATGCCTCTGTCTCAAGTCACTGGCAACATGTTTTCGTGGTTTCTAGAGTTTTATTTATCAGCATAGTCATCTGATCTGTCCCATTTATGATTATTACGTTTTGACTGAGTTTGGATTCGCATGGCAGATGGTGCACGCATAGCATGAGATGCTTATCCTGTCGACGGACTCAATCTCGCTTCTTTAAAGTTCATGCAATTCCCGCAGTGTTTGTGTTTACTCCGATTTGTTTCTCCCTTATCGATGTTATTGAGATTTGAATATCGGTTGACAACTGTTCCCTTAAATTAACTGGCATTTTTACAGGAATCTGACAGTACTACATAAAATGTATTGCATTTGACATCTCCATTCTTTTTTAAAAGGATTTCCAAGGTATTGTTGGAAGTATTTTTAAACATCTAGCAGGAAAAACCTAATTTTATACAAATTAAATTCTTGAATGTCTTACAAAGTAAAATTTCATATTATGTGTTCATCAACAATGTCGTTCTTTTCGATCTCGAAGATTCTAAAAAGAATCTCCTTTCTTTCTTCATTAGGGTTCCAAAATCTACAATGACTAAATGATATCTATAAAAAAAAACACTGGAGAAGTCCTTGCCTCCGAACTTTTCTGAATTTCTTAAAGCCATGATGAGAGAACATATTTAAATTGAGATAAATCTTACTGCGATATCGGATTACGTGAAACATAGATATTGTTTATAAATTAAACAAATGTCAGGTTAATTTATTGATGAAAACTGCGACCGAATGGATATGTTTTATGTTTTAAAACAAATTAAAAAAGTTTTGTATTTTCCAAACAATGAACAAATTTATAGACATAATTTTCTTCCTACTACAATTGATGATGAATGTCGTTAAAAGTGTAATTTATTTCACATTACATATTGAATTATGAATGCCTTAATCATAAAGAATCTATAAGAAAACATGTTTATTTTACATCAATAATTCCCCCGTTTACATCAATACTGTATTATAGAGTCCAAATGCATTAAAGCAAGATTTATTGTTTAAAACGATTAGAATATGTCTTTAGAACATCCATGCTTTACAGAGGTGTAAATATTACTATAATAACAAATTGTATTGGATCTTCAAAAACCATAAAAAACATTGATTTAATGTCAATGTCAAAGCAGTATGAAAGACTTATTCTTTCTGTTTATTAGTTATTTTATTTTTGTAGATTTCTAGTTATACATTTTAAATGATATATAAATTAGTTATCTCTGTTTACTTACGTATATGTTTATATGTTTTAATTTAACGCTTTGATAAATTTACAATGTTTTTACTATATAATAAACTTTTATTTTGTGTCAATACTTGTTAAAATAAATATTGCTACTTCAATGCGAGGAACAACTATAATTGTTTTTAGTGAATGCATGCGTATCAGTATATAAAAGATTGTATTTAGGTACAAAAAATACAAGAAATACTTGTATTCCTTATAAAATCACGTTTCAAAATCTTTCTATAGCTTTTGAGACAATATTGGTTGTAGGAAAAGTACGATCTTTAAAATTAGTTTTAGCTCTATAGCCAACAGGACCAGTGTGAGCTTAAAGCAATACTTGGCGTTTGTCGTCGTTAGTTAACCGTTTAGTTTGATTTGTCTTTTATAAAACATTTGCCTTTGAATCTATTTTTGAAGGGATAATGGCCCCGTATGACTCCTCGTGTATTTCTTGGTTCTGATTTTTTTGGTTTTCAAATTTATTTATTTCAAAACGTACACCGACAAACATTTTAAATATTATAGGACTTTGATGTCTATTATAAGTTTGGTCATGTCGTTTTGTTTTGGAAATCATGACCACCAAAGGAATTTCCTTTTTTTTTAATCTAAGCTTCTCACGAAATATTTCTGACGTAGTGTTTATTGGGCTACTACAATGTTGACAGTTAAATATTCATTTTATAAATCGAAAAACATGGTCTATTTTGTATCAAACTTGAAAGATTGACAAATATGATTGTAAATGTTTATTTCAAGAATGAAGCGTTTCCGGATGTCTCAATGGCAAACGTTTCAACACATGCAACAAATCTCCCTTGAAAACACCAGAAAATAGAATATTTGTCCTTTTCTCTATTTTTATTATGTCTAAACTAGGAAAAACAAAGAGTGTCTTCTTTTATCCTTTACTGAAATGTTTGAAATCTAAAAGAAGGAGAAATTATATTCCGAACGCAAAACTTAAAACAAAAAGGTATTACATTCAGCACATGTCTAAGATATAATATTATCTATATATTAATAACAATATTGTATAATATATGTATGAAGTTATTTGTATTTAAGAGTTCAAAACGCATTAATTAAAATGCGATGCACTGTGTATTTTTCAGTCTCAAAAGTAAAATGCCGTTCCCCACCATTGTTGTATGATGCCATTTGTACAGAACGTATGAAGAGACGTTACAAAGTTGGAGAAGTCGTCACATTTAAATGTAAAACAGGCATAGAAATTGAGAGAAGAATATGTTTGGCAGATGGAAGTTGGTCTGGCGGAAATTTTGTTTGTGGAAGTACGACTTTTTATTATATCTATCAGGGTTTCTTTCGTATATGTTTTTACATTGTAAGAGAAAAGACAAATTCCTTTTTTCAATTTACCTACAGAATTTTAGTTGTCGTCCCTCTGATCTGTATTTTTTTTTGCACCAATGATATTTAGAACATATTTGAAATATTGAGTATTTTCCTCCTGTAAATATTTGTTAGGAATAAAAACATTTTGGAAGTTACTGGATATACAATATAATTCAATTACGTAAATGTTCGGTATGAAAAAGTTTTGATATATGTAGTATTTTCCCTGTTAATAATAGTTACGAATAAAAACTCATATTCGATTTCCAATTACACAAATTTTAATTCATTGTTTTCATTGAATATGTGTACTTCTCGTGTTTACATTTGTAAATGACCAGAACTTATATGACTGTTGTAAAGAATTATTCCATTAAAGGTTCTTTTGCTTTATTGTTCCTAAAATCAAATGTCGAAGACGAACTGACATGACAACACAATGGCGAAAAACAGCAAAAAGAAAAATAATCGTCACAGCATAGACCACTAAAATCTCCAAGAATTCCACCAAAACCCGGTGGGGGGGGGGGGGGGGGGGGGGGGGGGTGGAGGGTTTATCTTTTCTCTTGAAAGGTAAACGTGTGGCCCCAGTCGTGTTGCTAATGGAAGTTCAAATGATAATTCTAATTCAGTGATGTCACATTGGCAGGACAAATAAGATCATCAATGAGGACAGATTGTATAAAAACTATGATAAGAATTCTACTTGGTAAATTCGTCATTTTTTTTGAAAAGTATTACAACTTCACTTGATCAACTGTCAACAAATATATATATATAGACAACCACGGCATTTAATTGGATATTCATTTTTATTCAACTGTATTTTCTATGTAGTGTTTTTATGAGTATTGCTTGTCTTTTTGATATGTTGCCTGTGATAATTGCTGTCCTCTTCACATGACTTTATATATTGTCCCTTTGGTATTTTATTTTATCAATGAACTATATGATTGTATAAAAAAGATAAGCTTTATCAAAAAACATTTTAGTCTTATTTTCCACTAACCGTAATCTTCCAAATAATTATACTTCATTTTTATAGGATGTCCAAATGGTTGGTTTCCATTTCACGGGAAATGTTATCGATGGTTTGACACATATGAGAACATGACAACATCTAACGAGATATGTAAGCGTCATTCAGCTGTGATGACATCAATCAAAGATGAGAATGAATTCAAATTTTTATTACGGCTAAGGTAAGAATTTTAGGAATGATGAATACTTCAATATTTATTTAAAAAAGTGTTTATTTTGAAATGTTGACATATGTACATAGTATTTCGAAAATGGAATGGTAAATTAGAAGAAAATATCTGTCTTGAGAAACAGAATTTTGATATGATTTATTTCTTCAAAAAATATGTACTCTGCAAAAATGGAAACGCAGAATGGTTTTAAATAAAGGTTTGTTGTAATGACCTAAAATTTACACACTAATGTAAAACAAAATCTTAAAAAAGGTCAAGAACGATAAAGTTAGTAAATTTCCAGTGACTTTAAAGTCAGTATCTATTTTGACCACCAATTGCGACTAACACAGTTCTGCATTCTGTATTTGGACTTGCGGTATCCTTTGACAATCATGTTTTAATACTTGACTGAGTTGATCCAATGATTGAGGTTGGGTTGAGGTTGACTGACGCGTCTATCAAGTCCGTCTAAAAGATGTTCAGTGGGGTTTAAATCTGTCTACTTTGATGGCCATGACAATACATTAATGTTGGTTCTGATTTAGAAAATCCATGGTTACCCTTGATGCATGGGAACAGACACTGTCCTGCTAAAACATCTCCCTCTGTCGGTCAAAGAAACTGAGCATATGGGGCTGCAAAGTATCTTAGCCGTTCAATTTCCGACACACAATAAGGATATTTTGCAGTTGAAGGATATTGCTGCTTCTATCGCCAAATCTGTCAACTTCCTTTTCACAAACAGAGTAAAATCGTTCAATAGTCAATTTTTTTGGATATGAAACTTGATTCTTTGCTTCACCAAATTCGGTGCAACTTCTTCAAAGTCCAGACCCTCCATCTTTTACACCAATAAGCACGTGGACGTTTATGAACAATGGTCAAAACTGGTCCAACGTGAGGTCGCCTTGGGCTAATTCTGCGTTTGCGAAGCCTGTCACGGCTGTCTGGGTAGAAATTCACAGTAAACCTTGTATACTATCATCAATGGTTTTAGCAGTGACTTTTCGATTTCGTTAATTTATAACTCAAGGCTGGAGTAGTAATGCGTGACCTAAAACGTCTAGGGCGATCTTGAGCTGATCTGGTTTGATGCAATCGCTGCCAAAAGTGTGAAATTGTACTCTGGTGATCGTTGAATTGTTGGACGACTTCAGTTTGAGATACTCTAGTCTGAAGACGGCATATGACGTAGTTATCTGTCACAGGGACCAATCTTGGCATACCGACATTTTATAGTAACAATGACAATCGCCTGCTCCACACCTAATTTTTTATATGACAGTTTCCCGGATGATTAAACCAATTGTTTCCCGAGAAATACATGCACTGTTTCCCTGCACGGTTACTTAAACTGTCAATTTTACGGTCTTTTAAAAATACAATTGGTTATTTTTGATCGTACTCACTTTCGGTATTTTAAAGTGACCAACCGTGCAAAACCCTAAATGGTAGCCAAGATCGTTAAACACTCCCGTGATAGTTGTACTATAAATGCACCTTAAATAACTCTTTGCTTACATATTTGATTATGGCATATCCATTTATGTATTGTCGACTTAATTTAAATAAATGAATTCTAAAGAGGTTCATCGGAAGATACCAAGACCTTGTTGATAAATATTCAACTTTACAAATAATGCATGTTGGTCTTGAAGTATAGATTCTTAATACTGATGTTGTTTATCACCATAATTACATTTATAGTGTTCTTTTTATTTGTCTTTGTATATGTTTAACCTTTACTGTTCAATCCATTTTTGGTAATATCCTTTGGCGTGGCTCGGTATTTATACATCCTGCCATTGTGTTATTGTGCTTTGGTCATTTTTTGTATTCTTGTTTTTCAGTTTTGTTTATGTGGTTTGTCCACTGAGTGTCTACATGCCATTTTGTTTTTCTTTGTTGACATAATTGTTTGTTTTTATAGTGATTAAGAATATAACACAATGTTGACTGCTGTACCCCAATTTTTTACATTTTTACCTATTATGTCTGTTTGTTTTGCTCACACATTGTTGTCAATAAATGGAATTTTCTGCGACTGTCATACAAGTGAGAGGTTTAGCTAGCTATAAAACTAGGTTTAATCCACCATTTTTCTACCTAAGGAAATGACTGTACCAAGTCAGGAATATGACGGTTGTTTTCCTTTCGTTTGATGCGTTAGAGCTTTTGATTTTGCCATTTGTTAAGAGACTTTCCGTTTTGAATTTACCTTGGAGTTCGGTATTTTTGTTATTTTACTTTTTAATAACAATAATGTAGATGCAAATTAAATGTTTTACTACAATATGGAGTAATTATCTCCCAGTTGATACAATATTCCAGAGCTTATCATGAATTCCTTTCATTTTCAAATGGCAAAGTTACGGCCATCCAATCGAAAGTTTTACTCACTCTATCCCAAGTTGATTGATGTTATTGAATATCAAAGATGAACAATGATATGTATTAATTGTCGTAACAACCATCCCATCCTTTTTTCTTCGATTGTGATTACACCGAATAAGATTTATCACTCACCATGACCAATATGACGGGTGCTACATGTTGAGCAGAATCTGCTAACCCTTCCTGAACACCCGATTTCATCTCTGTTTTGATGGGGTTCATGTTACTCAGTACATCGATAAACTACTGTTGCCTTAATTTTTCTCTAACTCCTAAATGCCAAGTGCTTAGCGGAGAGTAAGTACCAATTTCAAAGTCTTTTGGTATGATCCGAGCGCGCTACCAAGATATCACTAAGGCGTTAGGTTCTTTTTCTAACAAAACATTTAGGTGACAGTGCACGAGAATTGTAACAGAAGCTACTTAGTCAGCATTTTGAATTTATATGTTTGTATGGTTTCCCTGCAGTCCTGTTAACTTTCTCTTATACATCGATGATTAATTTACCTGTCTTCCATTGTTTTGTATTGTGCTTTGGAAATTTAATTTTTTTTTTTACATTCATCTAATCTCATATTTGCCTATTGGTAGACAATATACATCGTTTTATATGCTACGAACGAAACGTTGATATTTAGTCACTTGAGGGTTTGTGATAGTTGCTTTTCAAATATATTGTTAAGGTCCTATGTGTACGCCGTTTACGTTTATAAAATAGTATTTCAATTGTATCGTAAATAAATGCATCATTTAACAAAAAGGAAGCACTAGAAAATATTACACGGAACCAATCTTAAATGATTTACAATAAAAAAGCAAAGAATTGGATAAATTCGGCACTGTTAAAAACGTTGCTACACATTTTCACAATAATCATTATCTGTTATTTACCTAGGCAAACTCTTAATAATGAATAATCTGTAATTTAAGGGAGCAGATCTGACTAGATTGCAAGCAAAATGTATAAAAAAAAGCAAATGTTTTACTCGTAGCCTTAATTCGTAACCAGATTTAACTTTAGATTTAATTAGACAAAAATGACCCCTACATACTAAAAAAAAATTAGTCGGTTATACACGTGTGGAAAAAGTAAAATAACAAAAATACCGAACTCCAAGTAAAATTCAAAACGAAAAGTCCCCTATCAAATGGCAAAATCAAAAGCTCAAACACTTCAAACGAATGGAAAATAACTGTCATATTCCTGACTTGGTACAGGCATTTCTGTATGTAGAAAATGGTGGATTCAACCTAGTTTTATAGCTAGCTAAACCTTTAACTTGTATGACAGTCGAAGAAAATTCCATTGTATTGACGACATTGTGTGAACAAAACAAACAGACATAATAGTAGAAATGTTAAAAATTTCTCTTATCCGTTGAATACCTTTAATACATTTCGCAGGGACTTTGGTACCTATAGCATTGTATATCTCTAGATTTGTGAGCCAAAGAGATCTTGGGGGTTTCACCGAGCCATCTACATCTTCGTCTTTAAGAAAAATAGGTTTTACGAAGTTTCCGGGATCATTAACATTGATTTGATGTGTCTCAGTTTGATTGTTTTGATTGTTTTGAGTTTTACCAGTTACTACATCAGAAAAAGACGCCATTTTTTCTTTGTTTTGATTTTGTTCATTCACTTCATCTCCGTCAGATTCACTTTCTTCATTTTGTAGAACACTCAGGAGGCGTTTCATACGATCAGCCGTCATACGCTTACATATTGCTTCAAATTCTGGGTCCATCTTACCTCTAATTTACTAATTATTAAACTTTTTTAACGGAGTGCTATCTCAACGAGCCGTAGCAACAAGGGACATCACTCGTATAAGATAAGAGAAATGTGGCGCCTTTATATGGACAACGAGGAGGACAGACTGTCTTTGTTAGTGACAGGGCTAAACCTGCGTGGCAGGCAGGTACTCCTGTACTCGCAAAATCCTCGAAATCCTGGTAGGCTGCAAGAGAATACTATTCGTATTAAGGTGAAAAATGTCCCTCTGTCCGCTGACGATGGACAAATCCACAGAGCTCTAACTCTACAAGGGTGTGAGATTCAAGGCCTTTTCCGAGAATGTTTGAGAGTAAATGGCAAATTAACTGCTTGCCAAACTGCTGACAGAGTGGTAATCAGTAAGGTACTAGACAAGACCATACCAAGAAATATACAGATAGGTAAATACATGGCTAGGGTTTTCCATGCTGGACAGCCAGAGTTCAACAGAAGCATCAATTATGAAAACAATGTAAAAACTTGTCATAAATGCTTGCAACCTGGTCACTTGATATATGGATGCCCAAATGACTGGGTTTGTAAAACATGCAACAAAAGTGGGCATAAAATGATGGATTGCCCAATTGGCTTTCAAAGTGAAAATATAAATGAAGACAACTCAGAGGTTAATGTCAATGAAAATGAAAGTGCAGATGTAAATCTACAGTCCATTGAAGCTCAAACAAAAGAACACATTTCTGAAACAACTGACAAAACATCTAATACACCAATACTGAAACCATCACAAAATAGCTATTTATCCAGCAAATCTAGTGATACAAGAACAGGTTCAGCAAAGAATGTGCAACTACCAAGTTTGAGTAACACAGGCAATG